TTCTTTCTTAATGAATTCTGTCATAAAAAATTTGATTTTTTAATAAGATCACGTTCATTGTGTTTAAACAATGAAACGTTTTCGCTTGAACTTAAAGCAATTTATAAAAAAATGTTGAAACAAAAACGATTCAAACTGCTACTGCTCCTCATTGCCAAAATACATTTGCCTTCAAAATCTACATCCAGAGTTTCTGCATCTGCTTCCTCTTTCGCTGCGAAATGTGTGCATCTAGCAAATGTGATCGATTCCTTCCTCGTTTTGATCTCATTCTGCAGTAGGAATTTTGTGTTATCATACATGATATACTTGCAGTAACATCTCGTTGTATTTACATAAACATTGTTCACAATTAAGGGGCCTTCCGTCTCCAGAAACGAGAATCACCCAATTGCAACCGGAGTGTGGGTATTAATGGCTGTGTTGAAAATGGTACGCACTTTCACGAAGTAGATGTTGCTCATAATTTCCTTAGCAAGTTTTGCATTCATTTTCGAATGCAAGAATTTATCCCTCTCGAATGCAAGAAGCCAATATATTTGCGTTTCTTTCCCTCAGTTATACCTTTGATGGTGCTATGGTTTTTAGGTACTCCATATTCAGGATGTTCAACACATTCTCCTTTGCTCATTCTGTATTAAGGTCGTTACTTTTCTTGTAGCAAATTGTCCTTCTGGGACCACGCGGACATACTTACCGAGAATCGGGAACATTTATCCGTGCCAAGTGTATGTGAATTCTTTATGGGGAGATCAGAATTATGCTGAAACCGATTATTATCCCCCAGCGTTGTTATTCCTGAGGGATGGAAGATTGAATGCTGATGATATTAATATCTTGGATTCATCATTTCATTTTGTATATCGTATATATAAACAGTTTGTAGACTGTATGTATAACAAACAGTTTTATCGTAACTATACAGAAGATTATCTTTTGTACGTCGTGGGACATTAGTTATCTATCACGCAGAATAGATTTGAATAGGTGGTTACCGTTTACTCAAAGGAATTGAGTTTTCTCCTCACATTTTGCTTTTGACCTCACAGAATGATTTTACAGCACTGTACAGTATATTTAAGAATATATCCGGAAGTAGCAAACATTTTAACATGATGTCCAATTTAAATAATTTCTGTAATGGAGAAGAGAAATAACGTATTACTTAACTCTCTATCATTATCATTAAAATGTCGGAATCCATTATTTTAGTTACATTCTTGAGAAAGTGCACTATTATCGCTTATTTTCATGAACTGAATGTATTCCAGTGTGGTAGAATGTAGTCCAAGGAGCTGAAAAACTGTCCTGTAGAGGACAATAAAAGAGCAGAAGTTTAACACTCACAAGGACCTCGAACAAAGGGAAGAAAACCCTGCCGGATAAGTATGACGAACAAAATCTTAGTTTCACCACGACAAAAATTGAAAAATACTTCATATAAATTGCCTTAAAGTCATAAAAATATGTTCAAAAAACTACCCGGACATAATGGATCTCTGGGGCAAATTTTATTTTTCTCGCACTACGGTGTCTCGTTGTTTACATAGAAATATGAGTTAAACAACACAAACGAAGAAAATCTAATTACGAGCGAATTTTCCAGTGTTTACAGAAGATGAAAGTAAAAATGTTATATTGTTTCATCAAGGACGGTTATTGTTCAGAATGTTGAGAAACGCATGAGGCGTTGAGCCTCGATTTAATCTTTTCATCCTGCACTGCTAGTAAGTCTGCACACATCACCAATGTGTACTGGATGATTGACAGAAATATTGAGAGAGAATAATTACTTCCATAAGAAGGGTTACTTTATCTACTTTATTAAATAAAAGATCGTTGTTGCCTGACTACAATGAGAAGAAAATGCATTCAAACACGTTCTAACATGAGATGATATTCAGAGATTGGCGAATACTGTCTTACGATGAATTGTCTTCATTGCACAATTAAAGTTTTTCTTTCCAAATTGGTTTAGCTTCTTCGGTGGATTTTACAAATCTCAACAAAAAATTGTGGCAATTATCAAAACAATGGGGAACAATCTGTCCAGATCCATTAACTTAGAACTCTGCTATTCCCTATAATTGATTCATCAGAATTATAATATAGCATGAAGAGAGGCGGACTCTTTATTATCTCAAGATTTTTTCATCGAATGCTCAAAGTATATCCGGAGAATTCGTACTTCAAACTTGAGATTGAGATTCTTTAAATACTAAATTGATATTCTTCAAATACTACTTACGTAGTTGGCCTTAGTACACAAATATCCATATCTCGATTTACAATTTTTAAAACAACTTCAAATGGCGATGGCAAATCGCAAACCGGATTCATGACAGTACAGCAGGGTGGATTTCAGGATAAAGGGATTATTCCCCATGTTTTGGTAAATGTACGATATTTGTCACAAAATCGCCAAATGTTCGTGACACTAAAATAACACTAAATAACACAAAAATTATATTTTTAAAAAGAACAAAGAATATGTAAAAATATACTTGTAATGCAAATTAATATTCTTCAATGAATTTTGCTGATGATGGCTGCTGAGGTAGCAGTATTCTACTGTAGAGATGGATAAATATAATTAATTACAAAGTTTTTTTAAAATAATTTATTAAAACTTCGAACAATAATACTGTAAAACCAAAACCATACAATGATTTTTGTGTTTTGGTTTTATAGTATCGGACTGTTTTAAACTATTCCGCAAATGTTTAATGTTTTCATAAATTAAAAAAAAAGTGTTTGGGTTTGATCACCTCAGTTATCCAATACTACATAGTCTTCATCATTAAAAACATGGATACAAGCAAAAGTCCGCTGTTTACCAGTAATGTTCTTAAAAGAGAGTATCAGAAAAATGCTAATGTTCGCGGGTTTATGGAATTTATATATACTACGTCCAAACGGAGAAATACTTGTAGATATATTTTTTTTCGAAGGAAATTGAATAGAAGACCTGGCGCGGCTCGTCATTAAAAGCTGTAACGCAGAACCTCTCTTAGAGACCCCCCCCCAAAAAAAGAAATGTAAACGTGTATTTATAAATGTATTTATTTACTAATAAATGACATATTATGTAACAATTGCATCAAAATTTTTCTGTCTGTTTGGCCGGACGTAACGTATTTGTAGCCGTTGAAAGGGAAGAGAAAAGAGTTTGCTTCATACGCTTAAGGCATGTGTAAAACTAGGAGACGTGACGTCATGCATTCACTTCACAGTCTTACCGACGGGGGAAGGCTTCTGCCAGGCAGCCTTCAAGGGTGGGGCGTAGGGTCTGAAGAAGGGCGTGCTCACCAGAGAGCATTACTATGCAGCTCAGCGCTACTTATGATTGTATCGGAAAATATTGTGTGTAGAAATACAATGCAAGTATTGCGACGCAATGTAATGCAATGCGTTTGCAGCCTTCCCCATTTAGAAAACCACGAGCCGTTAATGTAGAAGCCTAATAAAGGAACTACTTCCTCTGAGTCAGCAACATACTTACGTTTTGGATAAGTGCTAGGCAATTTTAAATTGAATCAAAACCAAAATTTTACAACACAATAAAACATCAGTATCATCTGCGTCGTACTAATTTAAATAAAATTCAAAAAAATTAATAAATAAAAAGAATCTTAGCCCCTCATTGTATTTGTATCTAAAATTAGATTTCAGAGGTAAAAACAGTTTTTCATTTCATTTCTGAAAGAAAATATTTTAACTGACTTGCTCTTTTTACCACATTTCGTTTTAAAAAGTCTCTGATCTGTCCTCCATTGCTCTGAAGTCTATCCTAATTCTGCTAATGTATGGAACATGTTACATTATTCACGACTTATCATTTGCTGCTTGCAGAACTCCATTTCAGTAATTAAATAGGACAGGTTCAGAGTTGTTAGGGCACAGAAGGTTAATCCCAGCAAAAAGAGGACAATGAAGCACTAGGTCACCTACAAACACAGTAAAGATTCTAAACGTCCAGTGCAATGTGTTTCATTAATCACAGATTAAAATAAAATGGATTAAAATGATCAATAAAATTGATTACTATTAAAGGAGAAACGATAATCTAATTCTAATAACGTTCTCTATTACACTCCTGAATACAGATAATCCGAAAGAAAAATATTTTAATATATTTATATGTGAATCAGCGTAAGCAAATATCGATAATCTCCAGCAAATGTTAATGAAAGCTGGAAAGATAGAAATGTTATTTACAATGAAATATTTTAACTAGCTCAATTAACTACGGGAAGTAATGCTTTGTAGTCACTCCAATCGTTCAAAGTATGCATGTGTGTAATTTTTTTTCAGGTACTACTATGTAGTATCGGGAAAGTTATGCAATGCTTAAGAATTCGGCAAAAATAGATTTCCCGCCATTTCCTCACTCTGAAAACGTGATAAATTTTGGCCTCCTAGTGTTGTAAGTTACTTATTTTCATACGTTTGAAAATATTGATTTAGCCTTTGAACTAAATTTAAAAGGAGAAATATCATTTTACATATTTACTGAAACACTTCTCGTTCTTTACTCGTCAAAATGGGCTTTCAAATACCTCTCTAGAGGGTCTAGAATCACAATTGGCACCAAAGAATAGGTGTTTAGCTTTTTATATTCTGGTCTGCATCAAGTCAAAAAACACAGGGACAATACTTGAAATTGAGTTTGTAAAAGGGTAGCAAGATAGTAACACAACCAAGAAAATCAAAAAGGATCGCCAATATGAGAAGCTGTATATAAAGTAAATGTTCACTAGAATCGCATTCATGACATATGAGATGGGACCGACATTTCATTTAATTGAGTGTTATTGGTATGTGAACAAAGTGAATCGACCCAAAAATCATTTCGCCTTAAAATCTTGTTGGAAATGTTCTTTTCACACTTTCTCTTCTTATAACTATTATGGTTAAAGCGAGAAGAAATAATTGTATGCTTAATTTATAAAGGTATTGAAAGGTAAAGGTATTAACTTATAATGGCCGTAAACGATAGAAATCAATGAAAGTTAATATATTTTTAATTTAAATATAATTTGTACAGACAATTTAATTTTTAATTCATACGCTCTTTTTAAAATACAAGGTTAAAAACATTGAAACAAATACATTTTTACTTTTCTTAAACTTTAGTTTCCATCAGTTAGATACGTGTTTTACATAAGTTTGCTTCATTTTCTTATCAATAAAAGACATTGCATGTACTACCCAATTTCTAAGAATAAGATTTAATGTAGCAGCGGTGACGTTTCGTCGTAGACTGGCTCTGAATTACGACGAGGAGGAGAAGACATACAGCGCGATTTTACTTTTTCTTCATTTTTGTCCTTTTTGCCTTTGGAAGATGAGCGAACTTCTGCAAAAGTGAGGAAAACAAGTACTTTTTATGTTAAGGTAAAATGATGTTTACATGGATTCTGTTTTTACTTTTGGGTTTAAAGACGAGTGAAGCACATAAAATGTCTTCGAACGAGATGAGTGTGAAGTTTGCTGAAGTACACGCGAAGTTTGAATGGTGTGTTACGAAGTTTGGTAATTGGTTTGATGGCTATTTTGCCATGTATATTTTGCCATGTATATTTAGTACAGATTCTTTAAATTTTGTTGCGACAATAAGCTAAGAAATATTTTTGGCGATAACGAAGTAGAGAAGAATATACACGTGGTAATATTTAATTTTGATTATAATTTTAAAAAACGAGGTGAAAATTGATTTCAAAATCAATTTAAAATTTAATAAACCTTTTCTAAAGTGGCATTAAAAATTGCCGTGAAAGCGAGACAGACGTTTCGATAGGACAAAGTTAACAAACACTAAATTTTCGATAAATAATGTTTTGGGAAAACAGTAAACGAGGAACTAATTTGCATATGTATCGTAGTTTTGATAGTTTTCAACTACCAATTCGAACTTACCCTTGCAACCACAAGACTCTGGGACACCACGCAGTTCTGCAAAAACGTCCACCACACATGCAGCAGCGGGCACTGTGTATAAAATAATGAAAACAATTTAGAAAACAATACTAAATTCACTAGTTCATATCTCGGAACTTCCATAGAACACGTTCATTGTTTCATTGTTCGTCTATTATAGAAATGTTCTAGTAGAGGGTAATATAAAAAGCTAATGGAACAGTTTCGAAACAACTTCGCTGCAAATTATTATTGAAAATGGGTATTATCTTAATGCACAATCAAAAGTAAATGAAGTTTGTTTTCTGTGGTGCTATCTGAATTCTTACAAAACTAATGCTTTAAAACTTTGAAATTTTCCTTAATATTCAATATTTTAATATTTAATATTTAATATTTTTATTTTAATTTTTTCCTTAAATATTTTTACTTTGTTAGAAACAGGTGGAACCATTTATTTGCCATAATTCATAATAGAAAGAATTCGAAAGACTTCATGCGTTTACGCGCGAATAGAAATTGATTTCATTACTAGAGAAAAGAGCAACATTTTTCTCAATTTTCAAATAAATACTGAGGTATTAAAGCAGAAAAACTATATAGTTGCAGATTTCATAGGAATGCATACTTAGCAATAGTTATGTTATTTAATAAACACGTGCGTTAGTAATTGTTCATAATAATGAACTGTTTTTCAACTCATCGCAATCAAACACAAGAAACAAAAGCCTTTTTTAACAGCCGGCGTCCGTTAAGGATTTGGCAGCGCCCCGGCCTTTAAGAACGAAACATCCCATGTAGAGCAACGGCCTTCTACTTTTCAGAAGGGTGGCTAAAGATTAACCTATTGTAAAATTTATTGTTCTTTACAATTGAGTTTTTTTTGTCTTAAAACATAAATCTAAACATTTTCTTTTAACAAAAAATATTCGTTGTCTTTCCTCGTCTTAATGTTCTTGTTCATAGGCTATACTTAAACACTTTCACTTATCACTTGAACATAAACAGTTTAGCTGTTTATTATTGCATTAGGACTAAATTACAATGTAATTCTAAATCGAACGTGTCCCGAAGCCGCCCTCGCTCAGTGAAATGCTCGCAACTCACGCTGGAGGGCGCCCACGGACGCCGCCGCCTCGCCGCGCCCGACGGCAGCGAGCCCTGTGGCGATGAGAGCGTAGGCACCGAGGGTCACCCACGCCGCGCACAGCCACGGCAGGAGCAGGCGCGGCACGGGCGACGGCCCCGCCCACTCCTCCCCGTCCTCCTCCCCCGCCGCCGCCACGGGGCTGCCCCGTCCACCTGGGGTCTGTGCAAGAGGATTTGAAGCGCGCACTTAAGTAGCTCTTTTGACAGGAACATTTGCACATTGTGCACATAAATAAAAACTATCGCAGTTTTTCCTAGGATGGTTTAATAATAAAATGGATAATTAATAATACATTCCTAGGATGGTTTAATAACGTCAACTTGTTTTGAAATTCCAAACAAAGTGACGTTGGCAGTCTCTAGGAACACTGCCATAGATAAAGGACTTTCTAGGCTACTTTTTATTTCGAACTACGTTGCATTTCCAACTTTGTGATAAAATATTGTTATTTCCCCTTACAATGTACATGTTTAAAATTACCTTCGGCACCGCAAATCTCTAGACTAGAAGTTTTGAAAAGGGTTGATGTCACTGATTCGAGAAGGGTTGATCGAGTCTGAAATTTTAAACGGAGACAACGATGAAGGTGTGAATTTGCTGTAGATAGTTGAATATCCACCGGCTACTCAATATCCTGTGGTATAATCAATATCCTGTTGATTACAAAACTATAAAGTTAGTTATTGATTTGTAATATAAATCTTCAAAACCTCTAAAAAGTTGATAATATTTGTAAAAATTTGAAATTTTAGTAGTCCAAAAAATTTTAAAATATAAAACCAATTAAACAGTTTTTCAAAGCCTTTTATCTTAATCTCTGTCCTATTGATTCCTTAGAGACAAAAAATGAATTTAGTCGATGCAGCAAAGCACTCTTAAAAGGGATATATGTAAGAAAAGAGTTCGTAATCCCTTCTTTAAACCCTTCCTGCGTCGTTGCTGATGATTATGTACTAAGAAAAAATAAAAAAAGTGGTCCAGAAAGTATGTACACTGCATTTATTTCAATTTCCCTGTCCACTTTCAGCTCGTGATAATTTACATCATAAAAACGGCAAGTATTACACTATGAGATATTTTTAGCCGAGGTGAGGTCGAAACGGAGACGCGCAATACCTCGGGGTCATAACACGTTTCTTTTTCACAGTGACGCACATTATTTTTGTAATATAATATTACTACCCGTATGCTCCGACTATTAACTGACGTCAATAAACCATCACGTGTGACAGAGAGGTCATGATATTTATATAATTACACTGGGCTGAATATTTTTAAACCAAAACCGAAAAAAAGTAGACCTTCCGAAAGCTGTACGAGAGAAGACCAATTAAACACTGAAATAATGCATACCACAAAAATATGAACAATGACGTGAGAAAGAATTTAATCAATTTTGTTAGTAAATACTATACTTAATAACTCTAAATAACGACTTATTTTAGCATTCGTATGATAAGTACCGGTTAACATACCTGAGGTGACAAAAGTCATGGGATAGCAACATGCAAATACACAAAAGGCAGGAGCGCCGCGTACAAAATAAACAAACGGGCAGTGCATTGGCAGAGCATTAATCTGTACTTAAGATAGTCATGTGAAAGTATTCTCACCTGGCATTTCAAAATCCTAACTTTCAACGAGTAGTTCGCGACTTCCACAGACGACGTTTGGTTAAATCCACCCGGGGGTGTCTGGAAACCCATGGATTGCCCTACGCCAGAAGAAGACGGCGGTACAGAGTATGGAACAACACTGGGTCCAGGATAAGGAAGGTCTCTTGGGATATTGGGGTGGAAATTTGATTCGGGGTAGGGGAGGTGATTGGGCACAGGATATGGTGGATGACCTGGTTCTGTCAGAGAGGTACTACTTGCATTGGAGTTACATGGCGTAGGATAAGGGAGATTTGAAACAGTAGTGCTGAAGTCTGGAGCTCTCCAATTCCCTGGAAGTTCTGGCCACTTACGGCCCTCATTTCCATTACCTCCCTCTCCCGGTCGCACCCAGCCAATGTGCCCGTGGGAGAAATGCGTGGGAAGAGTCGGAGGCGCCTCTGCATGAGATGGTCTGTGAAGTAGTTGTGAAAAACTTAAGAACTGCTGACGTGCATTGGAAAAAAATAACATATTTGTTTACCTTATATGTCGGAACATAGAACGCAGCGTAAATGTAATGGAGTTATTTATTTAAAATGTATACCTGGTTTAAAACAAGAGAACGTAAGAAATACTAACATTAATTTTAAGTTAATCCATCTTTTTGAAAATACAATTTTATTTTCTCTTTATCGAATATTTTCCAAAACGTTAATGATTTTTTTACATTTACTTAAAAAGCCAAAAATGCATTCCGTCTTGGAATGGAAGCTAAATTGAGAAATACTCTCGTCACCACCTGCTGAGTAACGGTTGCTGACTTGGGCGAGAAGAATAATGCCAACGTGAAAACCAAGCTGTGGATTTTCTATACCTGCATGGCTCCTGTTTACTACCACTTGGTCGAGGGCTTCTGTCTCGATCGTCTTTTCCGATCTCGTCGTCCGAAGAGACGAATCCGTGGGGCGAAAACGAATTGGACGGCGGGGACGAGGGGGAACGCGGGTCGTGCTGGCACGCCGTAGGCGGGGGCGCTGTTAGCTCTATCTTCATTAGCTTAAACACGGCCAGCAGGAGTTTTTCCATCAGCTTCGTATTCCCTTCAGGAGCTCGATATCCTGTTACCTGAAACGATAACAGTTTTATGGAGGTACGAAAGGCAGTAAAGGAAATATCAGACGAATTGATAAATAAACACAGTTGGAGTAACCCTCAAATATTAAAAAAATCCTCTGAAGACGTACTTCCACACGTCTCATTTGCGAATGGAGAGTTCGCGAAATTACTTGCCGTGTATTTCAAGGAAGAATTTGGGGTACATATGTTTTTAAACATTTTAAACTATCGTTGTGTAACTCTGAACATAGGGCGTCATCGGACTATATTGGGCGCCTGACTTGGAATAATACCATAAGTAAGAGCAATCCCAGATCAAGTGGGTGCCTACCTTACTGGCTGCGATGAGGAACGCCCCAAAGAGCACGTGGGCCACATGAAGCGCCAGGAAAGTCGCGGCCGCTGTTGTGGCGACGGCGACGCTCCACTCGCCCAGTTGAGCGGCCTCGTCGACCACAGGCTCTACAACGGCCCAAGCGAAATTCCCCGTCAGCTCAGCTCGAACAATTTGGTAATTTTTACGAAAGGAATATTTATTACATTACACCATAACAATCATATTATCTACACCACTAAATTCCAATGCGCGCAGAGAAAGAGGAACAACAACTATGTAGCCTTCAGTATCGTGAGAAGTCTTGTCAAATATCAAGGAAACACACAAAACATTAAAAAAAAGCAGTGAAACCATTTTCCATTTGACGAAAATGCGAATATTTGATGGTGTTCTTCTGCCTATTCTGCAGAAGTACTTGAATGCCGAACTGATTTCTCATCCTCAATGCGTCATTGCTAACGACACTGCTGACGTCATAGCCCTAGAGCGCACTCACCAACTTGCTATTCACGCGTTGCAAAATGGAACAGGAACTTGTTTGGTGTTCATGGTATTAATGAACCGTTGTAATGTGTACCGGTAAATACTATATTATCCACTATTCGTGAATAATTTGTTAAAATATGTAATTTATTGCAGAGTTATACGAGAGTAGTTTATTTTTCAGCAGCTTTTCGATGCGGAGACCGAGACACAAACACAGAAGACAGAGAAACAAACAGACAAACTTCTGGGTAACTGATCGTAATATTATATACACTTGCTGTTGAACTTCGAGGACACAGTTCGCAAACAAAACTAATGAATATCATAAGTAAATCGTACTACTTCATGGACGGCGGAGGTAGTCCAAATTGTCAAAGGGTAAGTTCAGGGTCTCCCAAAACTCGTTTCGCTGTCGTCTTGAGAACCTCATACCCCAGTTGAGTACGAGATAAAGGACATTTTGAAAAGGCCACCAACGTAAATTTTGCATTTGAGTCTTTTCTACTATTTATTACAATAAATTATTAATATCAAGGTTTGATTTCATCCCGTCAAAAATGACGGTTTACCTCTAGTGTTCATATAATTGAGATGTTTCTAACGTCCTGTACACCTCCCTAGCGCCGATGTTATATTTATGTAGCTGCAGTGAAAATTTGACCTCCACATTCGTGTTTTCCTAAATATCATATTGCACATTTCTCTTTGCTACATATATCATTGGATATTACGTAATTATATCACAGTCTGACAAAATAATCATAAAATATATTTTTGAAATACTTCTCACTAGAATTTTGCTTCGTATTCATTGATATGACAAATATTAACGTTATTTTTTTCAATGTCACTCACCGAGATTTCCAGCAATGATGACGAAGAGGGCACAGATTGACACTGTGCTGACGAGCGTTCCCCACAACTGCAACAGCAAAAACGTACGTGACTTTTATTTAAGAACAATGAAGTGACTTCTTACTGAAAGAATACTTATCACAAGAACAACGGGCTGAGAGGATATAACTTGTCAAGCCCCATTTACTTTCAGATCTGTTCTATCCAGTGGCAACATATGTACTGGAACTATTAGCTACATTATAAATTTCACTGTCATTACCTCCACAATAGACAAAATTGGGTCATAAAAGCTTCAGAGATTTAAAATTAATGGTGCACAAGTGTTGCGGAATCATTCCACATGCAAAGATGTCCATTTTAATTTTCTCGAATATCTGATATAAAGGACAGATTAATCTCATCAATTGCGACAATAACGTAAAATAAAAACTAAGCAAACTTTAATTGTTTTATTACAACTCTTTTTATAAATCATAACGGAAATGGTCTATAATTTTGTGCACAGATTCATTCAGATTGCTCTTTCTAAGAGAATGTTCTTATTAATCAGGGTGTCGTGTCGAATTCATAAATTCTCAAGTGATTCAATACGTATCAGAAGGTTGTTAGTTTAAAAGGAGACATCTTTATAGAAGTAAAGCTTCAACTGTATTTGCCAGTAATATATTTGTAAGGTCTCAAGGAGATTTATATAAAAAGTAAAATTAAGTATAAGGGTTTAGACACCTTGTTAGTTTTTAAGCTTTTTCTGTTTTCTGATTCTCATTTCTTGAACTATACATTTAAAAATACATACATTAGCGTATTTAAAAGTTATTCTGTCAAATTGTTCAACGAAGAAACAGTAGTTAAAAATAATTTACTAATAAATATCGATCAAAGTTATTGATTAACATATGCAGAAGTAACATTAACTGCATATAGATAATTTTTTGAGAAACTGTATGACAATACAACAATAATAAATAATAAAAATAATAAATAATAAAAATAAATAAAAATAAATAATAAATAATAATAAATAATAAAAATAAATAATAATTCCTTTAGTAAATCATAATTGTAATTACTTGCATATCAGACACCCTTAAGTAATTAGTTGAATACCTCAAAGACGAAATGGGGGCTTTTACGAAAATGTTTGTGCCAACATTTATTTTCACTTGTGGAAGGAGAGCAAGCCCAACCGCTTACCATGGAAGCGACTCCTATGAGCGCGAGCCTGGTGCGGCGCGAGCACACGTTTGCGAAGAGCCAGCGCTGCGACGCCCCCACGGCCTTCTCCAGGCGCCGCCGCACCAGCCGCTGCGCCAGCACCCAGCACACGCAGCGCACCACCGCCTCCGCCGCCACGGGCGCCGCCGGCAGCATACGCTTCTGCGCCCCCGCACCAACGGCACAAGCTAGGCGCCGACCCTTGCTAACTTAAGACTTAAACACGTACTACAATTACATCCTGGACACGTCACAAACCACGTCATATAGAACGGGCAATAACCCTGTATTATTTCAAAATCGAACAACGCAAATTGCTCAAATACCTATTACATACTCGTACTGTTGTCTTTTCTCGTCATTTTGTAATTTCAATTTCCAAATCTAGGTTATAGTCGGGTGGTTTCAGCATGTCTCTCAAATTACTACCAAGTGCGTAATCGAAGACGACGCGGCGGTCGCACTGTGGATGTCCCCTTCACCCACCATCTCTTATTTCATTACCATTTCGTCACCGTTCTTTTTTAATTATTTCACTAGCAATTGTAGTAATAATAAGGAATAATCTTCATTAAATATTCGGTTACCGGGCATTTTGTCCCGTGATTTGTTAACACAAAATAGTTTCGAAATCTTCAATAGAAACCCTTTATTGAAAGTATTTAGGCGATTCGCGGCCCCGTCGCGGTTCGCCGGCTGAAGCAGTCTAACCCTGCAAGGCATCCAACCGAAACGACGGGAATCCTTGAAAAGTTTCGTCAGTGAGAAAAAGACGTTATTTCTCATTAAAATATTGCCGGGAATCCAATCGAATAAAACGGTTTCAGCAAACGTTATTGTACGCTCCCAATGAACATTACTAGCAAAGCATCAAATCGAAACAGAATCTGATTGTCTTACAAACGGTTTCAATACAAAACTTATTTTTCATTAAAACATTTCCGGAACACTAACCGAATGAAACTGTTTCAACACAACGTTTCTGCGCACACCACACGAACAGTACAAACAGTGGTGACACCTAGGTTTCTCTACGTAGGGAGGAACTATAGGTGTACTGTTCAGCCAACACGATGTTTTATGAAGAACGTTTCGTTTATGCTGGGTTTAAAATGTATTCCCATTTGTTGAATTATAGTTATTTATTATGTATTCAGTTGAGATATGAAGTAACTCGTCGCTAAGAAAATTAAAACTTTATTTCGTAATGTGTGGCTTTGGCGTTGGGAAGAAGTGAAACTGTATGAGCCCCTCCCCTTGGAATTGCCACTGATCACAAGCAAGGCCGTCAACCAAAACAAACTGCGTTCAAAAGTCCTTCAATCGTGAGAAAAAAAAACTTATTTTTCATTGAGATATTGCTGAAACGCTAACCAAATAACCGAAGGTTTTTGAAAGTTAATTTCATTCTTGTTACATTGGGTTCACGTTTCGACAATTTACAAATAGCGTAAACAAATGTCTTAATTTTCTTTAGTATTTCAAGTACCTTTAAAATATTTTTCTCTTGTTTTTCTAGCAGATATAAAAGGAACATTTTAAACTCTTAAAAGTATTCAAAAGAGTTCCATCAAAAACTGAACAATCCTGAATAGCATATTTTAGTAATCTTTATCTCAAGTAATAATTATGAAAAAAACCCATTTGTTATGTGAAGATGGAAAACCGTTTTGAACAGTTTGACAACCAAAACAAAGCTGATCTAGTAACCCGAACCGAAAGATAATATTTTATTAACCGAAGTCGTTATTTGAAACTCTTTGATGCCTTGATGACAATGGATTCTTCTACTCTTCCACCTTTGTCAGCCATGTGACAAATTGACGATATAAAAAGAATTGAGTTAAAATGTCTGTAAAAATTATTGGGTCATTTTGATGCAGGGGCATGTAACAAATACACCTGGAATTTTATTTTTACAATAAGGTATTAAAATTAGCACTTAAATTTTACAATTATGGTGCAATGCAGAACTGTTGAGGTTATGATGCACAGATCTCCTGCATTTTCTTGCATTAACACGAACTATTTATAGCAATATTTAAAAAGGTGTACTTCAATTTTATACTTAAATTATAATCATTAGTGAAATAACCCTTCGAATTCTTACTTACACTTCACCTACATTCTTACAGAGCTTATATTCCACGACTACGGTAAGTGTTTATCGGGCGTATTGTTGGCAAATGCATAATATTAAATCCGCTCCGTATTTTGGGGCAGAAATTAGGGTCAGAAAACTAGGAATGTTTTCAAATATGTGCGGTACTTCCCATGTGACAAATATAGCAACTAGTTTTGTTTTCTGTTTTAATGTAGGATTTAGTTATATTAGAATTTCAACATAAAAATGACCGTGTCTGCCCAGGTATTACTGAATAAACGACAATTATTAATAATAAACAATATCATTTTTATCAAAAAAGTCAATTTTAGCGTATAAGGAGTTGATTGTTAGTCAATAGCAATGGTCTTTCTTTTATGGGATTTGTATGTACACTATTTCATAATCCTTGAGAATATCCGAAGACAATAATCCAGTGCTTTAGCATTTGAGCAGTTTGAAAGTCAGAAGGTACTCGTAATAGTTTAATGGATAAAATATTGCGTTCTTAAGACATGCCAATATTCACATGATCATTATTGCAATGATGTTCTTAATTCTTTCTTCTGTAGCAACTCTTCAATCATTTATATACATTTAAGTAAAAATGTATCTTCTGACGACTCAGAGGCCTTCAAGCCACAACACTCGAAGCTTACCTGCGGTTTGCCCGTCGGTTTCTTCGGCACATCGTCGTCCTCGTAATCTACCGACAAACGAAGAACGCTGACTTCAATTTCTGCTTCCGCCAGCGTTTTCACTTCCTCCGACGGCTTCTCCGGCAGTTGACCGACTTGAGCAGACCTCGGGATCTCGGGCGTCGTATTTCCGCTGGGGGGATTGGAATCAATGTCCATTGGGTACAGTGTTACTTCACCTGCAATCCAACGAAATCATTTAACTTCTATCAACAATTTTCCTACATTTCACAGTGTTCCAGTATTTTTATTTGGATCAAATAAAAACGCTAACCAAAGAAGAGATTTTTGTACCAACATTAAGGAATCACGCCTGTGAGCTGCTGGTTGGCAGGGAAGAATTGCATCAGGCAGTTAAGACGAAAAACTTAATACGCAAATAGGAGTAAGTTCACAAATACAAGTTCATAAGTTAACAGAAAATAAGACTAAAATGAGTTCGCAGAATCTGGTCTAGTAAGTGAATCAAATCTACATCCTTTATCATCGTAAATAACACGAAAATGACAGGCCTTGAAAATCAGTTTTTTGTGCCTATTACTGAAGCCTTATCGTACTTCAATGTGAGCCATTTCTACACCATACATTTTTTGAGATTTTATTTTCTGGATGTGACCATTCCTTATTATTTTTCAGAAATTAGCAGAAAAGCGAAATATATGAAATTAAATAGAAGAAATATTCCGTAGATATAAATAACCTTCCACGAGTAAGATGTCTATTTGATTTTCTTTGCAATTTAATCTCAAAGCTTAGCAACATTAGAATGTTTACTCATGCACAGTGAATGGCCGGCCATTCAAAACTTCTGTTGTATTACGCAGCTTTTCACGTTTAAATGAATTTTCGCACGGGTCCAGCACATTCGTAATAAACTGAAATGCTTAATTAACATGTGTTTTTTAACAGGTTTTTATTAAGGGGAATCAGAATCGGCAAAAACGATGAAATATTTTTTTGAATCATCAATTACTTCATTGTGTTAAATGAGGCAAGTTTCATCTTAATTTGTCACATCTAAGTATTTTTTAGATTTTGAATTTATGTGGCGTGGAAGTGGGCGGGGGCGTGGCCGTTTTGACACATCGTGGATGTTGCTTGAACGTAGTGGATGTTGCTTTTCGGCCTTCGTTGTGAAAAATAGTTCAGTTTGCTTTCTAGTGTTGGACGCACTAGACAGCAAAGTTGGACGCACGAGTTTCTGACAGAATGTTCGTTACATTAACATTGTCGAGATAGGCCATTGCGTTATCTTGGCTGTCTGGGTCCTCGAGGCATACTAGCCCTGAGGAAGATCGTTACAAGGACGAAACGTCGGCAGCACAGGCTTCGACGCGGCGTCACCCGGGCAGCCCAGATCACCCACATGACTCTGGCCGCGGAAGCCTACGACTTCATCCGCAGACAGACCGTTGCGGCTCCCCAATGCAGCACGCCACCTCTAGGCCCGTGTCGTCAGGGAGAAGAAGGAGAGCGGTGGAGGCGCGGGGACGCGGGGGCGGTCCGCGGGGCGCGGCGAGAGGAAGGCGGCGCGGAGGCGGTGCAGCACCCCACGCGGCGGCGCCCCCGCCCCCGCCTTCGGCCGGCCTTCCGACGACATGGAGACGCCTGGGCCTGCAACCGACACCCGACGGCACACTAGGAATAAAATATAATATATACGACGAATTACATCGTGCACTTGACATAATCAGCTGTTGTGGTTTCATCCAATCGGAAGTTTGTGTGTCGCTACAGTGACGTCACTATGGGAACGTTCGAGCTCCCAATTGGATGAAACCGTGAACAGCTGATTTACGTCAACTGTACTGTAAAGTAAATCCTAGAATAATAAAGAAAACGTTCATCGCAAAAGCAACAATTTGAAGCAGTCGTCTACTCCAAGCCGTATAAACTGGAAATTATACATTTTTACCACAAAACCAATATATTTAACAAAATATAATTTACTTCATGTAAATATTAACAATGATGATTGGGTATTTGTATTATTAAAATTATTTCCTTATTGTTGTAAACACTGTACTGCGTACATAACTAAAGTAGAAATTCTGAATATCAAACCTCAATGTAAAATACTGAGTCGATAAGAATCTTGTGTTGATATGACTAATAAACAAAACAAATTGTATTATTTTCAACGGTTACAAATTATTAGAATTAATATTATTTGGCGAGTTTTAAGTATTATTATATTCGTATTATTATTATGATAATAAAATAATAATAATCCAATGTTTGTATTTTAAAAAATTAAGTTCGAATAAAATCAAACCTGTATCATATTTATAAATACACATTGTTCTTCGCGTCGGACAGACTGACTAATAAACTAAAAATGCTAGCTACCATTCACAATATAGTATTAAGTTACGAGTTTGAGGCATACCAAGAACAACTTACGGAATTTATACTTCCTAAAAGTCCTACTGTCACTAATAAAAAAATGGTTTGTCGAATGTTCTTTAAAATATTCAGTAAAGTTACTTTCTACTGGGTTTAAGAAGAAATTTAATAATATTAAAGTTAAAAAAAACGCAAAATAACTATCTTACTAATTTCTACAAATGTAGGTAGTATTCTATAAATTTGAAAAAAAAAACACTTCCATATTTTTCATCTCGTTTCTCCGATTCTTGGGATTATAAGATTCAAAACCCCAATGCAGTAGGTAAGCATAGTAATGTTTGAAAAATTATCTAGGAACACAGAAACGGTATGGTCATCTTAAAAAGAATTATTTAACTTACCCGCATTAAAACTGAAAAGTCCTTTGTACGCAAAAGAAAATGATTTAAAAGTATTCAGCTTATCTAAAAGCACAAAATTAAATTAAAGTGAAACATTACTTACGTTGTGAATTTGTAAAGTCGAGTTTTTGGAGGATGTAGCTTTGTATTAATAACCACCTCACAAATTAATACGATATTTCATGAGCTGTAGTGCTGCAGATTTGATCTATCCAACACATCGCCTCACAATGGCAGACCTTGATACCAAGACATCATGGAGTGTTTAATTAGTCTCCTTTCATCGAATTTAAACGTTCTGTGGTCGGAAATGAGATCACATAAACTAAGTACAGAGTTTACATTACAGCATATTGCTACTTTTCTTGTGAATTTTCGTAACATGGTGTTCATCTGCAGATATTTTAGAGTTAATTGTGAATATTAAGAAGTGGCATACAATGGATGTCAAAATACATATTTTATTTTTTGTTGTTACTTTCTTTGCTTCTTATCCCCTTCGACACGAAGGGCTCAATATACACTGCATAACTGAACTGAATCAAGAGAATCGTGGTTTCGTGGGCAATAAGTAAATAGTTTATGCTCAATGTTCTCTTATAGAGGGAACTATGAGGGGGAAGTATGGGAGGAAAATAAGAAAGAAGAAACCGGATCAAATTAATTTTTAGTTAACAAGCAAATACTTAATAATATCAGTTATATACCACGGGCGTCAACTGTTTTTAATGAACGAGCGGCGCCACGAGGGCCTTTTGTCGTCCCTCGTTCATTATAACTCTTATAACGCCTTTAGTGCATAAATATTTCGCCAACTTACCATAGTTCATTTTATTATGCCGTAATGCTTAGGAATCACTGTAAGGAAACGTCAGATATGTAGATGAACATAGTGAAAAATATTTATGTTAGCCGTATTTTATTAACAGGCATGATTGTTAATGGCTTTCATATAGAGGTAAAATTGACAAGTGATACCTTGCAAGTATTCTTTTAAGATGCATTGTTAAAATTTCTCGTAAGAACATTTTTCTGTCTTTCAAATTTTTATCTGTATTAAGCCTGTTAACAATTCCCCTTACTCCTTTTTAATGACATTTATTTTTATAAAGACTGCTTACACAAAAAATGACCTCTTTTGAGATAGGGTGTTTTTTCGTCTAAACTATCACAATAGACGAGATAAATATTTATAAAGACATCTCACCTCATTTTTTAAACAAATAATGACACTTCATCAACACTATCATCAGTATTATAACATGTTTACAATTGCTTGCCTAAACTTTTTATAAATATATATATTTTCCGATTATGAATTATATTAGTTGAAAAGACATCTAATCTAACTGGAGTAAGTAAACAAATTCGCGGCTACTCGGTGTAAGTTTAAATCCACGTACCCATGTCTTCCAACCTACAACATTGAAATGTGACAAAATCGAGACACCGACAATTAACGAGAGATTTATAAAAATGTCCTTTCAGTTCGTCAAATACGTATTGCCTTTCAAAGACGATTACAAGTGTCACTTTGTTCTAACATTTTAAGAGCTAGCATCGTGGTATTTGTATGAGATTTATTACAATTTTTTATATAATAAAGAGAATAAAATAGTACATTTCATAAAATTTTAATGAAAATACGGTATGTGATAAGTATTACGAATTTAAATTTGGAACAGGAAAAGTAAAATCACATTGTTTTCAGTTTATTCTTGGGAAAATGGGAATGTGCTCTGTGGACGATTTGTAGTGAAAGCCAAAGTTGATACATCGAGAAATGTTTATAAGATCAATAGTAATAGATTTGATCCTTAGGCATATTTCTAATAAATCTTTAGAATTCTTGCAAAAATTCCTTTTAATATCTTGTGTTTATCTTACTCACGCCTGCATTAAACCAAATTGAACATGCAAATGTTAATGAAGGGCGTGTAATAAATCCATAATCAACTCTCAGGAATGATTCAAATTAGGGTGTTACACAAGTTTTGTTTTCCACAGCTTTTATAAGTGGCTTCCGCGAAAACTTGGAACCTAAAAGTCGTCCTAGATATTTCACAGGCTCGTGATTTGGAGTACGATGTATTATTCTCTTGGGATACCGAAGAGTTGGGATACTCGCTCGGCTTTCACTCGGTGAGTGAAAATGTTCATCCATAACTTTTCAGATCATTCTATTTTTGAAGTCTGCCTGTAACGTTTTATAGGTCAAATGCAAGTCTGTATTAGAGGTGAACAGTACCGTATCATCTCGTGTAACTCAGCTTTCAATCTAGTCTAGGAGTATCATAGCAATAAACATTAAGAGATTTGGCGAGAATGGAACATTGAGGGACTCTTGCCAGAATAGTGCATCTGATAAAAAGCGAGACCTGTGAAGACACACCAGAAAAAAAAACGTAAGACGACTTTATACATTTTTGACACTGCAGGTTTACTTAGATTACACTACCAAGGTATTAAAAAATATTTAAAACTTAATTGGTTTTCGTGACTTTTCGTAGGACTTCAGTGAAAACTTTACTTTTATTTTATTCAAATCTTTTCTAATCCTGACACTGGTCCTTTCATGCTAGCCGTATGATATTTTCGAAAATTTTACATAGACCTAAAACGTTCATAAAACTAAACCAAGAATTTAGTTATTTTTATATTTATGGTAACCACATTTTGCTTAGATCACGTTTACTGGTAATTTATTGAATTTAAATTTGTGAGTAGGTTCTGGTTGGACTATAAAGTGTCAAAAATTCATGCGTTTGGATCAAAGTTCATTATTCATTTTACATTAATTTACATGAAATGCATGCCCCTAAAATTTATTTTCTGTAAGCAACAACTTTAAAGACCACTGGTCTACACATTGAGGAAACTTCACCGTTTAAAATGTATTAAAGTTCGTATTTGTGTACAAATGAGGTTTAAAGATCTTTTACATCCAGCACCTCACGAATTTAACATTAAAATTAAAATTCTTACCCTAAATATAACATTCATCATTAACAACAAAATTTGAAACTATTCAGCCGAATTGTCAGGCATATTCAATGTGGAGTTCTAAAACCTTGATAGAATTGATAAAATTTAAAATTAACGTTATTTTCTATTCCTTAAATATTATCTTGTAAATTTCATATGCAGCGTTTCAAAATTCTGTACATGTAAGAACTACAATAGTCGCCAATTGTTAATGTCCACCTCCATTCACTTTCTTCCCTGCACAATCAAATTACTCTCAGGCAGATCTAGTTGTTGCGCAGCAACGGAGACCTCTCGTCGATTTCTCCGGGCGCTCGACTGAATCGAGTTGACTGGGCGAAGGTCGTCATCTCTTGGCCGAAGGTCAGGTTAGACGTCAGCTCCTCACTATTTCTTACTGGAAAACAAAAGATCACAAAGTAATTAAGTCTGTAGCCGTTTTTTTCCACCAAAAAGTGGATTCAAAATTTTACTTGTTAGTTGAACGTAACAAAAATCCGAAGGAAATTTAGTGTTTTTAAATAATTGAGCCAAAACTGCTTTAAAATGGCTCGCGTGATAGAAGGGTGTTGCCAAATTCAACGTATCATTACTAACCAAAGCAAACGACAGTATGTCGAAATGGTACAAAGCAATAGGCGGTTTTCAACGATTATAAAATCATTACCGTATTAAAATCTTTTAGCCATTTTTCAGATAAATCTTGAAAACCCCAGCGCGTCAAAAGTCATGCGATGAAATTAAACTCTTTAACAGCTATGAATAGAACAAGTTAATTCTTTTATTATTAATGGGGCCTCAAGCTGTTGTCCTCCAGGAAACAGCGAAGGTGTTTGCAGACGCGAAGGTGCAGCTGGAATAAATTTTCGGAAGAAGGCGATTGTGGTCACGTCCCAAGGAGGAACCCAATTCTCCGATTAAATATCCCAAACCTACTTTTTGTTCTTGTATTACATTATCCAAATATGATTAAATTCTTACCTTGAAGTTCTCCCCTTTCGGGTATTCTGAAGTACTCTGCTAAAACATCCAATGTCGGAAGTACTCCTGAAACTGAAATTATAAATTATAAGCAAGATTATTAGGATCTTATTTTTATTGAAGGATTAATTTAAGTTAAAGACATTTCTTTCAAGACAGATTCGAGATTCAATTTTAATTATATCCAATGAAAGGTGAAGGGAAAAGTTCAACGCCAATTCCTAATTTTCAGTAGTTATTACACGCTGATGTAATACATTTCAAGTTCTCTAACACTTTTTATCGCTTTCGTTCGAGACCTTTAAAGTTAATCTTTTCTCCGGTCTGACCACGGCTAATGAAATATATTTACCAGTCGCAAAAAGAAGAAACAGCCCGATGTACACGTCATTTGAGATAAATGAGAGCACCATTCCGGTCACGTATGTGGCGAATGTGCAAGCGGACGACAGCAGCCATTTCTTCAATATGCTGGTCGAGGCCGGAGTCGGCTCGGAGGACATGCTGTAGGAGGAAAGCGAGGACTCCACGTCCGCCTCCCGGCCGGAGTCTCCTTCCGCCGAGGCCGCGTCGAGGCGATGAGGTTGCAGAGGCTGCTGAGGCCCAGCGCCAGGCTGCCCCTGCGATTCCTGCTCCAGTTCCGCTTCCGATTCAGAGACATTCAGAGCAGATTCCAGCAATCCAATGGGCACCTACAGACAAAAAACACATTTATGGACATGTTAAGTATTGCTTAATAAATTCACCATTCAACTGACAAATGTTCAATCATACCAGAAATCTTTACAAGTTGTGACAAAGTCAATATTAAACACGCTATCTTTCAGGTAGGAAGTCATTTTAAAATATATTCATTTAGCTGAAATAACGATGTTATTCTAATTTGCTAAGGTACATAAATAGCATATTGAAAATAACTAAAAGTGATTTTGGCTTCAAATTAAGTGTATCAATTGTAGGCAAGTTACACATTTTTCACACTTACTCTACCTTATGTAATTGACGTACCGTGGACGTTGTGGTAGCGGAGGAACTTCCGTCCGAGTCCCGAGTTCGAACCACATCGTGTTGCGTTGTCGGCCTGACGTCGCTCAAAAGGCGCCTGGCTCTTTTCAGCCACAGCAGTTTCCAATGCAGCGTCCAGCATCGCCCGCGAGATCCAGGAAGAAACGGAAAGAAGAGATTTCTTTAGGTGAGGTTGGAATTCATTGTAATTTCTAGTTAATTGCAAAACTTATTTTTTTATATCAAACTAAATATTAAGCTTATGGTTTACAAAGTTAAGACTGAACCTTCTCAATTACAGGAATACCCATAGACTTATGCGTCAATAATTCCGCTACTTATAATAGTCTGTAGGGGGAAGGGTCATCAGGAAAATAAAATATTTGATACAATAAAGCTTATCATAAAATAATGGCAAGAGTACACGTTTGGAAACAAACGACGCTAGGAGAGTTTTCGAATTCGTACAAATGCAATGAAGCAGTAATATAAACCGAACTTCTTTGCATAATAGCATTAACACCTTAATAGAGAATCAAACTATTTTGTGAAACAACTTTGTGACGTCTCGGGTATTTGACGTCTGAGAAAACTGGTCAGCCGTTTCGTTTCCCGCGACTCCACCCCCCCCCTCGCGATTCTCTCGCTGTGATTGAATGTGTGAGGACGAAGTTATTAGTGCCGAAAAACGACTTGTTAACTTCTTATAACAAAAGGTAGTTTGTAATTCTGGTATATAAAAATATCTCTTCGATTATGTTGCATGTACCCGAACTGGTTACATACTGGAAAATTTGCGAACTGCCAGACAATGGGAACTGCGAACAAATCTGTATTTTATCCAAGTTATTTCGGCTTCTGTCAATAGTTCTAACTTTGAAATTTATTTGAAGCTTTCTACAAGAGTTAAAGAGGATAAAAACGGTCAACTTTTATACAAAAGTTTTACAAACCAATTCACAAAAAAAGAAAAAAATGTTTACAAGGAAACATTGAGGAGCGAGATAAAACAGGTTTATTAAATAAAATTTAGCGTTAACGATAAATATTAACATTATTTGTGTATCAATTTTAAAGAAATTAAAGATTGCTATTAATACCATTAGAAGATTTTTCTGGGCAAGCCAACTGAGTTTTGAGTTTAGTTTCCCTATAACAAATAATTCCATTTTCTTTTTTTGCATGTGAACGAGAGTAACTTTCTCTAGTGACTCAATGTAATTTTTTTTCGAAAAATAAATTACGAACATAAAACTGCCAGCATATTTACTATACGACTTGTTGCTAATGATTAGGAAAAATAATTGCAGTCGTCATAAAGCAAGAAATCACCAAGTTTAAACAGATTGTGAAGACTTAGCGTTTCTTCACTACAATTTCAAACCATTCCAAATAATACTCAAGTTTGAAGTACATTTTATAAAAACAGCTTTCCCCGGCTGTGAGAGTTCCCTCAAAATTAAGAAAATTTCGTAAATGGTAAATGCAGTCAAAGGCAATTGCGTGTACTTCCCAAATACGCTTACCTTCGAGGTGCGCCCGCGCGTTGTGGGGGCCGCACTTCGTTTCCAGGTCGGATTCGAATCGGAGGAAGAGTGCTCTGCTGCAAACAAGAATTTTGGCAAAAATAAGTCTCCGTCTATTTTGAGCGTTCAAATTTGTGATTGAAAATCAGCAATTTCGTACGACCATTAAGAAGTAAGAACTTTAAATTAAATTTGAAAGAAAATATCTGAATCTATGTCAATGTGAATACCTTTTCGATGAAAAAAAAAGTTTAGTTCCCATTGTAATTTGTTCCTTCAAAAAGACTACCACCAATCTATGTACATAGGAGAAACTCTCCATTTGATTTAGAATATGGATTTAGTTTTGTAACGTTTAAACCTACCAATCTTAGTTCATTAATGAAATGCATGGCGTCTCCATTCTCAATTGCTACTTAGGAGATTCGGCGTTTCTGCGACAACGTGCGAGAGTTTAAAGTTACGACACTAAAATAAGTTGTGCAGTTGAGGGACTATATATAATTACAAAGTTGGGAATCTAAAAAAAGTTTCTACAAATTATGTTGAACTATCACTTTTCTATCTCTCCAAGAAAATATTTCAGTTTTTTTATCTACTACATAAACTCGCCACAATTAGAATTTAAATCACCGAATAAGTATTAGCCATCCATTTTTTTCGGATTAACAAATGATAGGGAGAGTCATTTCACTTACGTCATACGCTCTGTACAGAGAGATGGAGCTCGTCAGGCCCACTAGATGGACGATTACGAACACCGGAAGTAATGGTAAAATCAACCTGAAACGCAGCCCTTCAACAGGATGTGAAATTCGATTCCCTGCAACAAAATTCAAATTTTATTTTTAGGAACTCGACAATAGACTACAAAGAATAAATTAAACCATTTTTTTTGAAAAGTGGAAAAAAGGCATTCCGGATTGTTTCATACAAATTTGTTTTAAAAAAAGACAACTTAGATGCCGACTCCACGTGTGTGTTTTAGCGTTTCCATGCAATATCTGCATGAATTACAAGTTTTCCTGCAAGATGAAATTACTGTATGTGCGCATTTCGAGTAGTTTAATGAATATTTCTTATTCAAAACTTTAATTAAAGTATCAATAAGTATCTATCCGGGAAGAGATGTGAAGCAAGATTCTATAAAGGAAAAATTAATAATTATAATTATTTGAATTTATGATTATGATTAATAAAATTTTAATCATTCCATTTGAGTATCTACTATATTTTGTTTTCCTCTACAAAAAAATTCATATTCACGCATAATGCGCTTTAATAATTTCTTTAAAATTAATTTTTGTAAAAGCTTAAATCGAGTGGAATTAAAAAAAAATTAGCTTTAACATACTGTTGACTAGATTGTCAGGAACGTAAATTTTCCAAGCAGAAAAATACCGAAGACCAAGCTAATAGAAAAATCACACGTAAATAGTTGCGTCAATGCGACTGATTTAATATTGCAAGTACTTACAATATTTAAAAAAAAATAATTGCAGAAAATATTAACGAGAGGGTACACATTAAGAGCATCTCTAATTACTCACAAGTGATTGCATCATTTCCCTAAGCAGGCATTTTGAAACTAAATTATATAAGGTAAACCAATTAATTTTAAAATACCGAGGTATTACTATCTGGCGTAGGGTGGTGTATTCCATGAATGTGAATAACGATACAATTTTATCACCTTCCCAAATAGATTTTTCAGGCGACTGATTCGGTACTCGACTCATTTTTAACAAGGGACTTTAGTTTGAATTGAACGAATTTCATGTTATAACAAAATGGGTCTGAGTGTGAAACCGACTAATTCAATTTGAATGTCATTTACTATGCCTAATGTTAAGAAATATAAAATATCGAATGCCTTACCGTATTCCTCCATATACCAAGCTCCAAGACACATGGCGGATAGTAAAGTCATTGCTACTCCCCACATCTATGAAGGAAAAACAAATAAGATGAATAATAAACTGAAGGGGTCTGGAAATCTTTTTAATAACACAAATCCTTTCATTTGGTATTAGTGGCAGACCCAATACTACCCTCAACAAAAATTTGAAAGAATGTCTTTCAAGTGACCATGAATCGCCCTTTTACCGTCTAGTTTATATTCCATCGTGGAAGTAATTATTGAATCATTATGTAATTTCGTATTTACGACCTAAAGTAATATTAAGGACATTATAGAACATTGAATTAATATAATTAAATGACGTGATACATCGAGGTCCTCTTTGGGTCGCATTTCAATTCTTGGGTCAAGCAGCGACCACGTCTTCCTTTGGGGAAACTTTAGGAGAGCACGACACGTAAGTACGTTAGAGACTCGTGCCCGAGGCGGGACTAAACCGTGATCCCACTATCCGAAATGGCCACTGCATTCACGATCTTCGCTATCCGGATTGGCTAAGTAAGCTTTATCACTAAAATATTCATATTAAGTGGCCCGCTCTGTGTTTAATAAATGAACGGGAGAAAGCCAGAACGGCATAAGCGACATTTTGTAAATCCTGAGAAAAATCTATTTTACCTTTTATTTCAGTGTCAGTAGTAATTTCGTGATTTAACGGAGAATTTAATGCCGTGGATTTGGAAACCACCACGACTATACTGTGATCCGACTTGACCTGCACTCACCAGCGCGAGCATGCCGATGTATGGCAGGCGTCGCCGCCGCCCGCCCCACTCTGCGCAGGCGGCCGCTGCTCCCACACGATTGAAGGCGCGCGCGGGCGCGTCGGGTCGGCGCGGGCCCCTCCGCCAACGGCGCCCGCCGCCTGCGACACGCAGGCGCAGCCACCGCCCCACTCATGGCCCGCCCGCCGCCCGCCCGCCGCCGACGCCGGCGACGCCGCGCGCGACTCCCACGCGCCAGACACCAACGACACCCGCTCGTACTCTTCCTGGTGCAGCGCGCGCGCGGGCGCCGGGGCGGCCGCTGCAAAACGCGCTCCCTCAACACTCCAAGGACAGGGGAACCACGCTAATCCCAACTAATCGGGGCGTGGTCTGGACGAATTCGGAAATGTTCGGATTACCCGAAGAAAAAAAATACCTGACATAAATACATCTACTGGATTACCAGATAATGCAATGTAGCGTGCGATCTGAGAAAATGGAAACTTAGCGTAACGATTGCCTCATCACATCACATCGCATCATCAAGCCGATTCAGTTCCTTACGGCAAAAGTATTACCGATTTAGCATATACCTCTAAGTAAAAATTAAACATGTGATATTCACTGTAGTTTTCAGAGTCATTAACTCATTTCAACAGTGTTTCAATAATTAGTTTTTCAGTTCTGTAATAATTATAAAATCTTTCCTTTGCACTACGGATAAATCTTTTTGCCTCCATTCGAAATTTTGTTTGGATTATCCAAAATTCCAGATCTCGGAGGTTCGGATTAGCGAGGTTCTACTGCAGTAAAAAAGTCATCCCTGTTCAATTGCACACACGCCAATTTGGTCCACTGGGGAGCTGCAGGTGGGGCTTCACTTATTTGTCGCCGCCTGTACAAAGAGGAGGTCGTGGGGCGAGCACAACCCTGCGACCGACTTCACCCCCAGGAAAGATCCTGGCACCCACTTTGAAACGACGCTGAGGCGACTTCAGAGCCGCCCAGAATGGAAACCACGTCCTTCGAGTTAGGAAGCCTGTGCCCGACCACAGCCTCGCGGCTCCATGTGCAAAACAGTTTATGCAATTAGTGTATAATATTAAGCTTTATTGCACCAGTATACGTTTTCAAAAGTAGCTACGTCAGAAGCGAAATTTCAAATTTTTAAGAATGCAATAAAGCAACGTTATAAAATAGTTTATAAGGAGAGTTAGAACTGGACTTCGTGCACACAGTTCTGGGGCATCAGTAGTAAATCCAATACACAAAATCATAATATTTCAATCCAAAGTATTAAGTAACACTAAAAATGACCCTGGAAGGTTCGAAACGCAATCCACCATGATTTAAAATGCCGAGAGTTAATGAAAAATAGTATAGTTTTAAATAAGTTTGAATATTAGAATGTCATACCAGTACTTTAGCCTGACATTTTTAAATAACAGTTTAGAAATGAGAAGCCTTAACAAATGGAAGTCTTACAATTTATCTTACAGATTTTGAAGTGCTATTTTATGTGTATCAATTATTAATGGAGAGATACTAATGAGTATCTAATTTAATTTATGTAAGAACTTTACTTATTGTTCGTGGGCATGAACAGATTGGAAAAGTCATTTAAAAAACTAAATTAAGAAAAATGAGGTAGCAAATTTGTTGGGTTTTTTTTCCATACCTAAACACCGAACGAACATTTTTGCAAACCCGTACCATTACATTTATATTATTAAAAGCAAGTTTCTTTAATCTTCAAATCTTGCATTTTAATTATCAGAATTTTGTATTCAGGCACGAAGTACTAATCATATTCCATTATTTCATTAACTGAACATTAAATTTTATATTTAACAAAATACATTTTTATTAAAATGTCAAGTGTTAAATGTCTTCACAAGTTTAACTTTTTAGAATTTCCATTGACTTCATATTGCTTTACATATTAACAATAGATTGTGGTTGACGACTGTACGGAATGTAATTCCAACGTCATTCACAGTCTAAAAATACGGCGAGGTGACCGACTTTTTCGCCCTTGTAAAGTTTCGCTGTCCTTACCTCTGAAAGCCTACAAAAGACTTTTCATCGAGTTTGTTAGGCATATTATCCTAGTAATTGAGTGGCTGCACTGCCTCACCGTTCTCGCCGGGGGTTTCGTCCTCTTCGGGGGACGAGGGCAGCGAGAAGGCCAGGAGGGCCCCGCGGATCTCGTGGACGGGCGCAGCCAGGCCGCCGCACACCGGCGCCGCCTCCGCCGCCTCCGCCTCCGCCTCCGCGCCCGTGTGCGTGCGCCGCGCCACCAACTGCCAAACGCGCTGCATCGCCGCCTGCAAGCGAAGAGCGTTCGCCACTCGAAGGCCGCTTTCCAACTACTAGAGTCAGAGTGCCCACTAACTAACATTGGGGTAACTGAACGGGCACAAACATTCGTGCTCCGAGGGGGATTCGAACCCTTGGCGACCTCTGCTACCCAGGCCGGCAACGTTTACTTCAAATTTATTTCTTTATTCATTCCTGTCAGGAGCGTAGCAGCCTAAGACCAATGCACACAAAATAAAAGCATGAACTAAATCTTTGTTAAATTACAGGCATCCACGAAAACTTAATAAAATGATTCAGTTAAATTTAGTTTTAAGTGAATTTGAAGTATTTATAAAACGTTCTGGGTGAACGAAGAATCCCTTCTATAATATTAACTTCATTTGAAATATTTAAAAACAAATGCCGCGTCACAGAATTAGAAAGCCAGTAAACCGATCGTTTAGGAAGTATTGCTATTTTGTCTTAAAACTAAAAAAGTTAAATCGTGAGATATGAAGCTCACCTGAGCTCTTCAGTCCTTGGGGAATAAGATTTAAAATACTAACCTTGAATGATTGGACTAACAGCAGTTAAAACATTTAAGAAGAAATTTAAGACAAATCTAAAAAAAACATGATTAGATGAAAGATATTTAAATTTAGTATTTATGATTTGCATTGGAAAACTAAAACGGGTTTTAAATTTACCAGAACATGCAATAATAGTTAATCTTACGATATAAAGAAATAGAAGCGGTGACATTTTTCGTAAAAAGGTCTTTCACATTAAAAATATTGAAATATTTTAATAACATTGCAATGCGTAACAATTTCATCCCAGTTAACACGATATCTCAATCTCACCCATAGTTATGAATGAACAAAGCATCAACCCGAAGTCAAGGGGTTAATTTAAATTGCGAAATGTAACACTAGCACGAGGATCACGTTTTCCCACGTCGCTAGTATATACGGCAGAAATCCAAATTACTCTTTCGCTTTCTTTACATCTGAATTTTTTCCTTTCATTCTTCAGGAATAACAATATCAAAATTAATACGCATGACTATCTTAAAATTGTGGAGGGACGTTCTGTACATTTGCAACCGTTAACGGTTGCAACAGAAGAGAACCAAATAAAAAAGACCATTTTAGAAAATTAACAGAACCGGCCTTTGCTTATCTAGTTTCTTTCCGGCACTCAAGGAAGCCGATTAAAATTCACAATTACAGTATATATGCCTTTGCGAAAAACTAAAGTAATATTGTAAAAGTCCATTAAACCTAAAATCGGCCCATGATAAACCATCGAAACCCCTCTGATACAGTGCAAGTAATTTCCGAAACATTTCGGGGTAAATAATTTTCAAACTAAAAACTTAACATTTATATTTTACAACAAAAAAAAAAGAAAAGAAAAAAAAAGCGCGTTCACTCACTTGATTTTTTGCTTTTAACGTATTTTGCTAGAATAAAAGAAAGGTATATTAAGTTCGATCTTATTTCTACTAATTAAATGCAAGCAAAATCCGAGCAGGCAACTAAACGGTTCAATTAGGGTACACGGTAAACCCTCAGTAACGTGGCGGTGAAGGGAAGGGAAGGGGCCTCCTTAAGCCTTCCCTTAAATTACGCTACGCGCTCTTTTAGAAATGAATAAAACTTACGGATAAACAATTTTCATGGTTCGCCCTTCATACGCTTTGAAAATTACTTTCAACGGCAAGCGTTTTCGCTTCGCTCGCCCGGATCCAAACCACGGCGAGGCTCGGGCCTTCAGCCCTCGCCTTCACTATAAACATCCTTGACTATCCACCGTATAACTACCCATTCACTTTTCAAGAAAGCCTCCATAATTCAAACGTTATCGCCGGAGCGGCGCAAAGTGCCGATTTCAAAAGACTTCAGCCCAATAAAACATACCAAGATCAGACGGACCTTATCCACAGTGTACGTCGGGCTGCGAGGACGGCAGACGACTCCGATGTTTCGAGTGCGCTAACTTCCTCCTCGCCTGCGTCGTGGAGCGAAGACAGCCCAAAGCCCTGCCGTCACCGAATGAATGCCACACAGTCTCTGCCTGCCCTTTCCCTCCCTTCCCCACCCTACCCCTCTCTATATTCCCCTCCCCTGTTTGCAGGTTATCACAACGCCCGCCATTCGTTTCATTTGGAATGGAAACGGATCACTGAAATATTTCTTTTTCTATTCTTTGCGAAATTAGTTTGAAAAAATTGATCGTAAAGTTATTGTATTTTATAGCATGTTAAGTAGAATGTTTAATTTATTTATTGCCTTCGTTTTTGTAATCTAAATAATTAAAAAATTAAAATTTTAATAAAACGTTTTGAGAAACGTTTATTAGAATTGTTTATAATGTCAAACGTTTAAATTATGAGCGCATTATATAAATTCAAAATGATTAAAGTGTACAGGCATGGGATGATTCTGTTGGAAATATATATTTTATTACAGGCTCTCGAATTGAACTTGCTTATCACATTGGTGCAACCGAGGGTGGGGGTACTCATTGGGTTACGGTTTCATAGAAACGAAAGTCATTCAAGGGTATAAATGGAATACGTTACAAATAAGCATGAATAAAAAGGTTAAAATATTTAAATGATCGTACATAATTTTTAGTTCTTTTTAAATAGTTCTCTTAACTTTGACTCAAAAGTTTTCTGTACAAGTTTTGCTCGAATAGGGAATAGTGAACTAACAAATTGATTGAAGTCAGTTTATATTAAATGATTATTTAATATTTAATAATTATAGAAATTTAATTTAAATGATCGTACATAATTTTTAGTTCTTTTTAAATAGTTCTCTTAAGTTTGACTCAAAAGTTTTCTGTACAAATTTTGCTCGAATAGGGAATAGTGAACTAACAAATTGATTGAAGTCAGTTTATATTAAAACCTGTAAATATTAAAAATTGCACATGTTTAACTTTTTTCAACCTCTGAACAAATCCATTATCGAAGCTAGATATATATTTCTTAATGTAATATATTCTCCAATATTACGTCTTCAAATGATTTCTTTCATACACATTTCAAAATAATAGCTCATGCACAAATTTAAGTAAAATTGTGAGAATTTTCTAAAATGACTTAAGTTCTAAATGTTTCTTTATACGTTTTGAATGGATGGAGCACATTACTTACTTACTCGTAAAACACACGACAGAAGCTCATTTTGATTGAAACTTAATTTGTTTAAATTATATAGTACACTTAAATGCATTTATGGGTATACGATTCAAACGTTGTCTTATGAAGTTTCTAGAAATCTAAAATGTAGCCCTATGTAAATGAGCTCAAAATAGCGAGTTTTCAAACGAAAGTTTCACAAAACATATTTTTTCGGAAAATGTGCCATACAACAAGACTTTACGCGTCAATGTTCTCTAAGCCTCGCGTCAGTTACATTATAAGGGGGCCGAGAGAATACGTTTAAAAAGGTACGTGTTTTTATAACTAATTATTATATGAAATAACTGTATGTTGTGTTAATTTTGAGAAATGTTTATTCATAAGTGCGGGGCGGTAAAGCCAATGAAACATTCAAGTATTGTTGGCAACGATTGCTATTGCATAGCATTCAGATAACCTACAAATATGTAGCGTTTCGAAGTCCATTATTGATCATGGATTAAATAAAACTGTCAATTTTTCATAATTTAATTTTTCCTGTGGCTTTTCCAGCCGACAGCCGAGTATCTGCAGGTCACAAAGAACGCATATTTGATCCTACACTAGACATTAACACACTTGCGGGCTTCTCTGATACGGGATCAGCAGAACACAAGGCCCTCCGCGACAACACATACATGAGAGACAAGGGACAAACAACCATGTCCAAGGCGAGACTCGAACCTGCGATCCTTCGGACCGTAGTACTGAGTCAATAGACACTCGTAGCCACCTCGCTGAGTCGATATAAACTCAGTCACAAAGTGTGCTGCGTTGCAAACAGTTCGATGAGAACTTTATACACGACAGCTGAAATATTAAAGTATATACAATTTTCAATAAAATTCTATATGAAGGGTGTAGTAATATAACTTGCGTGTGCCCGACACTCAGAGTTAGACTCCTTCCTCTCCACCTTTTGGAGGAAGCTAGGAGTCACTTGGCACGTTCAGTTTGCATTGTACATTTGCATTTTCATTGTACATTTACATTTTACAGATTATAACTTTTCAATACTACATTATCATTATTTTATTACTGTTTATTGCGTTCACGCTAACCATTTTCCATTTCATCGGACATTGCTTGGACAATGTGTTCGTTACATATTCAACCTCTGTCTCCAGTACAGTTTGCATGGTTAAAGGACTAGTGTTAAGTTGTGACAAAGTTATATATTTTGATTTATTACACGAAAACGGGAATTACATGTGATGTGTGAAGAATTTTCTGCACACGTTTTCTTGATCTATTTTGTTTTAGAATAATAAATTCTGACTTCACAGCGATACGAAAATTTTAAACTATTTCAAAAGCCAACGTTCGAGATGCGAATAGTAAATAAAATATTTGTAAGTTTTGAAATGTTCAAAGGATATATACTAAAGTATATATTAAATATATCTAGGGTAAAAAGTTAGATTTGTGATTTTTGAAAATGCCATGTGCTTGAGGACTACCTTGCATGTGTTGATTAGTGGGATAAGTTCGTGTTTTCTGTGTGCTAGCTCTGATGCAGGAATACACTACCCAAACTTCGCCATCGGAAAACCATGTCATTTTCTTAATTTGGCTTAAATGCAATAAAGAATAGTAGGGGAATCTAATACATTTCTTCAATTTTTAATTATTGATTTCTAAGTGTAGGAGGTATAGAAGATTGAAACCTTTGCTAAATTTTACAGGAGAGCAATTGGAAGACTTTTTACTTTGGACTTGGAAGCGAACTGTTATTTAAAAGAACTGACAATAATTCTTAAGACAGTATTTTGACAGACCTGAGTATAGGATAATACACCTATACAATTGTGACGATTGTGACAATCGCATTTGCCAAAAATTAAAATTACAAAAATTGAAGTAATTTGAGATATTCAATTTTTGAAGATAAATTTCAGGAAAAACTAATCTTATAAAATTATTTTATTTACATTAAAAAGGTCGATACAATATATTTTTAATAACAAACTTATGAAATACTTTCGCATCTCAATTACACATCTCTTCAGTATGCTACATCAACTAGATGCGCACTGGTCGATTGTACGTCAATAGCTAGTTTCCTTACAAAATTGTCAACTATACAAGTATTTTTCTACGTCAGTACCATTATTTGAACTACGATTGAAATTTAATCTCGTTAATAAAAACAACTTTCATAATATATTGTGTTCACATTTGCTATGCTAATATCAATATTAAAACCTTAAAAATAAATCGAATTTGCGTTCTTTAAAAATATCCTCGGGATTGTAATAGTGGGTTTTAGAAGTAAGCCTAATCGTTTTCTTTCGCTCTTGATCACTCTGAGGAGAGATCCCTGAACTGCAAAGAACAATTCTTTTCGTCGAATTCTGGACTAGACCCGTCTCTTAGCGCGTCTTCTAGCGACCTGGCCGACGCCAGCTCACTTGTCTCCGCACTGCTTTCGGGCGACGGGCCAGTGACGAACAGTCGTTCGAGATCTGTAAAAAGATTTGGTCATTTGTTTTAAAATACGATTTCCACTCCTCGCAGCATTGTATATAAATAGCTTGCGTTATAAGCGTATTTTTACCATCACTAGTTTTCTCGGACACTTCTAAGACTTCTGCTAATACGTCCAAAATACAAGGTGTCGATAATACTGAAACAATACATAAATGTTATGGTTTTACGTTTCTGCCATCTATACATTATTTAAACTTATCTACTTTACATAATTTTACATAAGCTAATAATGTCCTTACATTAACTTTTCTATACAATAATTATAAAACGTATAATACCTCTAACAAAGTCTTGGTGCAAGGTATGGTCACATTTTATTCTAGTTTTTCAATTTGATTACAAAATTTGACTATGACAAAACTGTTCAATTTCGTCACCCAGACGTTTCCACCAAGTTGTAAAATACTTTCATTCCATACATTTATCCTAGCTACGTTTTAAAATTGGTATATTAAATTTGTTCTCATAACACGTGCACAACTTGCACATCAAGTGATGCTACCCTTTCTCCACAGGGCTGCTAGTTGCACGTCTGTCTTATTTTACCTAAAATTACGCATAACGTTGTCGGAATGACAACGCTTCCAGAACAATAAAACGTCACCGCCGTGATGGTGTACGTCGCAAGTGTGACCACAGACGTCCACAGCCAAGGCGTTCGCAGGGGAACTGTTTTCTGCGCTCGCTTGTCGTTGCTTGGCCTCGTCCCCCCCTCTGCAGTGTCCTCGTCACACAGCTCTTCGATCAGGGACTGCGAAATATTACTTCTACCGGGAGAGGAACCCTGGTTAACAAAAATTAAGACACCCGTAGAGAACAATAGAATGGAGTAAAGCGAGTAATTTGTTATTGGTATTGTGGTGAGATTTTGTTGGCATTTCCAATGAAATAATGAGTCATTGCCAACAATATTATTTATTAAAATAGCAGTAGTCGTTTTTGTGTCTTCCATACAGCAGAAAACTGATGATAACTAAGCCATCGAAAGCTGATATTTTAACAAATAATATTGGCAACGACTCAATTATTTCAGGGGTAATTTGTGTTTAAACATCGCCGACACCCAAGAAAAGTAACATCTCAGAAATCTGAAGCATTAAGCTTAAAAATATTTGCTTGAAGTGAAAATTGTGATTTTTACGTGAAAGAATTTGATAAAGATGGTTCGCGAGAAAACCGGTAAATATCTTAAAACAAATACGCATTGTGCGAAATAAAAGATTTCATTCGAATTGATATTGTGCTGCAAAATGGAAGTTTAAGAGTGTCGCTTTTCTAGCTCACTGACGGTTTATATGATATAATAGTGTAGTGTTACCGTGGTGACCTTCCTTTTCGTAGTTCCTTGCGCGTGTGGTGAGCTTCCGGAGGAAGAGTCTGCCAGCCGAGACCCTCCACACTTCACCGCTTCTGGCGACAAACTGTGCGTGGAAGAAGTCGACCTGGAGAACGATTCGATGTAGTACGAGACTTTCTAGACTTCAATGACACACATCAAAGTACCTATTTTAAAGAATTCTTGAATGAAACTATTTTCCAGAAAACATTTCTCTGATAAGTTTTTCCCCAAGCCACAGTGAGGCCCAACTTCATGTAACCGTTCTTAAAAACTATAGAAACTGGTTGAATTACTTGCACTAAAAATTTGTCAGCCTTCCGTATTACGATACATACGGAGGGCAAACATGAGTAGTACGTAATTAAATAAAAAGTGTTGTCTGGCATTAAATATATTAAGTAAATATTTAATACCATACACCTTTTATTTAATTATTAGAATGTATCCACCTCACCAGCGATCTTATTAACTAATACATTGTTATTTTTACCGCATACAGAAACAAAAACTATTTCTAACAAGTATTTACTCAAACCGAATATTCAAAGACGAAATCGATATTAAGGTTTAGTCACCATTATTCAAAAGTTAACACCAGTGATCTACATTAAATATTTTACCTTAGCTTGCTTAGCAGATTATCACATTAATTTCAAGTGAAACCAGTACAAACGATTTACATTTTAAAATTTGTGGCACGCAAAAAATCTTATTCGGTGGCGGCCTTCAAGACGTTGTTCGTTCACAGCAGATGAGAAACTTAAGAGTCGATGCCTTCTCTACCTCTATGGTTAAAGTACGAAGCCCTGATGAAGATCACGGGCGAAACCTAGACAACACATTTCATGTATCAAAACTGAGGATGTAAATATTGCATAACGTGAAATTTATGTGATTGTCTGCTAATTAAGGTGAAATATGTCGTGTATATTAGTAAGCCATAGTCTTGCAAAATCTTCAATGAATGCTAGTAAATAGAATACCAATATTCAGAATTGAACAGAATTATTTTCTCTCCTTATGAATGTACACACCCAAAAAACCGAGAAACTTCAAATATATTCTTTGCAAATAGTTTTGAAATCATTACGAAGATTTAGTTTATGCTGATTGTGAAATATTTCCCGAGGACAAATCGATTTTACCGACCTTGTGGACGCCCTGGGCCGTTGCCCGTCGGGATTGTGCTCAATCTGCGCATGGACCTGCAGCACAGCAGGTGTCCTCCCCGGCGACGGGGCTGGCAAAGGAGCTGGCGTTGGGCTGCCACTCGGCGTGGAGGGGGCGTGGCAGGGGGCGTGGCAGGGGGCGTGGCAGGGGTCAGCTGCGGGGGGAGCGGGGAAGCCGAGCGACCAGAACCACTGGCCGACCTCTGCCTCCGTCGGGTCGCGTACTCGCGGAGGCGACGCTTCTGACATCTGGAGAAGGCATCAACTTAAACTACTTATACACGACCAAGTCACGTTAACTTTTCCGTTTCGTCTTGAGGCAGAAAAAGAAATCAAATTTTAAGGTGGAAACTTTCCACGAACAACATATTAATATGCTTTAACTTCAAAACAAATGATTTGAAGTTGACATAAGATAAGAGTTAAAATTTTCTGATGTGATTAATTTAGCTCTTATCCGTTATCGTGCTCTTAACAAATCCACTCTCTACCGCGAAACCTCAAACGCGGTAGCTTAATTTAAACGCGAACGCTCAAATTAAACGGAGTTATACGTAATACCATTATGGTTTGGATTAGGAACATTTTTTCGTTCATTGACCCCTTTTAAAAGGATTTGTTGACTCCCTCGACCTCCTTTCGTTATTCTGTATATCACATCACAATCATAACACAAAAGAACCACACGTAAATGTCTTTAAAGATTTCGTACACCAAAATTTTCGTAAATATCTAGATTTTCATTAATCGAAGACTCTTCCTCTTCAGAATGGCTAGTCTCGAATCTTAAGTGCTGTGCAATCGTTACAAAATAGCGAGTTTTTTAACTAGGCGTAATCCGAAGGCTGAACGACTGACACGGAGGTAGTCAAATTTCTAATTTATTATTATGTTTTGCTGCTATCGGAAAACAATTATCAAGTTAATTTTATATATTTTGTAATCAATGGGATCTTAATTATATTGAACAGGCGCTGATTCATTTTTGGTTATTTACTCCGAATCGACATCTTGACGATTGACCCTCTAAATTCCTTCGACCCCCAGGGGTAGACTCCTATCTTATTGGAGTTACTACTTCAAGACCTTGTTGCTTGGCAACGTCTGTCTAAGTCTATGAAGATTCAGCCTTCAGCCTCCGCGATTAGGCAAAAAATGGAAATCGTGAAATATTTTCTTCTCGCGAACTATAATCAATTTCATTGTGAACCTTTGGATAATTCGTAGTTCTATTAAAAATGGTAACATTGGTTTATATCAAATTATATTTTGTATTGCCTCAGTTGTTAATGAAAAACCTAACACTTTACAGGCGAACAGTAAAATGTTGCGGCTTAAAAAATATAAAATTAATGTAATAAAGCAGAACAGTCATTCTCAAAGCTAACACTGAACTTAATAGCCTTTAATGTTAGTTATTACCAAATCTTTCTTAGCAAAGTTTTAATTTTTGATTTAAAATTACATTTAATTATTTTTCTAAACTGAAATGTAATTATTGAAACAATTACTCCAACTTCTCACAGCAAGAAGAGCATAGTAAGATATAGTAGCCAAAATATGTACTAAATTTTCCTTTGCAAATAGTTTTGATTACTTGGAAGGGAAAGTTTTGTTATGATTTTTGCCAAAAAAAAGTTTCTTCCCGTACTCCTAATTCAATTTGTACACGAGTTAGGGTAGGAATATCAGAACTCAAAAACGTGCACAAATGACACTTCTCCCTTACACTTCAAATAACGTAATGAATAATTAAAAACTTGATTTACAACTAGTGCTTACGAAAAGTCGCTTTCTTAATTTTAGAGCTAGGAATTGCAAGACATTTTCCCCGCATGTAATGTTAACAGTGCACGTGTTACCACCGGGTTCACAATTCTAAACTTCATATTCTTTACAAGTCTGTCCTGGGTGGCTGAGAGCTTGTCCTGGAAACTCAGCGCTTTGGTGCGAAGAGTCGCGGGTTCGAGTCCCGCCGGCTTGGTCGTTTGTCCCTTGTCTCACTTGTACGTGTTGTCGCGGAGAGCCGCGCATTCTGCTGACCCCAGGTCGTAGGAGCCCGCCAGTGTGTTGGTGTTTAGTGTATTGTCGAATATGCGTCCTATCAGGACGGATGCCGGCTACAAAATACCCTAGGAAAAAATATATGGTTTTTGTTCGAATGTGAACCTATAAATATGATTAAATAAAAATTTAAACAAGAGGTCCCCTTAAAATTACTCGCATTTCACTATTTGAAAAATTACTTACCACCAAATTTTTCAAAACTTTATAAAAGGCGGTGTAAGATCTGAGCAGAAAACGAGTTTTCTTTGAACATGACATATTGAATCAAGTTTATTTTAGAGTCAATACTTTTCGTCCAGGGGCAAGCAGAATATAATTTCTACCAGAGCCTTCTCGCTTTACAAATCATTAAAATTAAAACCCATCTTCAAGAGGAATAAGTTACCTGCACTGCAGTCAGAAGCAATATGGCGCATATCGCTTGGGTTACATGAATAGCTGTCGAGTACGCCATCAAGTATGTACTGAACTGCACGAACCACATGCCCGGATGTTCTCCTAACATTCGTCCTACAATAAATGTAAATGTAACTGAATGTAAAATAATAATTACATCTTTTAAAACATATTTCACACTAGCATTCAACATAACTAAAATTTTTATATTTATTTTATAACAAAACATTTTTACTGTGGTCCACTTTCTTACCGAGATCACCTGATAGCGCCAGAATAACTCCACAGGAGGATACCAAGGTAAACAGCAAACCCCAAAACTAGAACAGAAAAATTGTGAAAATCTTGTTTTCTACATCAGCACATACTCTGCAATCAGTTTCGGACTCACAAAAAAAGCATAATATAGTGAAAGTAGCACTTCAAAAGACATACAATTCATTGTCTCAAAGCTAGGTCTAATAATTGTTTAATAATTATGTCGTATACGTGTTTTTGTTTTGATTTTATTAAGTAGTTTTAACACGCACTACAAAATAAACATTAGATAAAAATAAGCATATAATGTGTCCTGGCACTTCAAAGCAAGATTGAATTATGAGAGTTTATTGAAAGAATATACGTATTATGTGCTTTTAGTTATTTTTCCTCATTTTCCTATATTGACCTGCTCTTTTATTCCCCAAAATTTGAGTTGTGGTTTAAAAGGGACGGAAACAACCGTCCCATCAGATGTAGGTGAGAGGCACGTAATTCTGTATGTGTAACGGACAAAGATGAAGGAAGGATCGTGTCGTCTATTGTCTGTTAGTGTTCTTCTCCCACCTTCCCCTGGTATTGATAGGAGAAATCACAAAACTACGGATCAAATCAGCCTGTCGCTAGAGTTCTCCCCCACACGGTAGGTGGATTCCACCCAGCTGCTAATGTTCAAAATTCCGCCGCCATCGGGACACGAACCTCAGGACTCCGGACCAACGGTGCTATAGAGTCTTCGTAGCTGCCGAGCTACCGCGGCCAGCCGCAATAGGAAAGTATGTCCCACGTACCCAGGACTGTAGGTGACACAGGGCATGAACCGATGCCACTGCTATGCCTCCGGCCGGGGCGTCCTAGGGTGCGATTCCCGACGGTGGCAGCATTTCTGACACTAGCAACATAGCTACACCAGGCAAATGCCGAAGCAGCACACTAACAAACGGGCCATGATATCCTCATTCCTTCTTCATCCTTGTCCTATCCTTACCCCTTACACTTACACTACCACATGTCGGGAGACCCGTAGTGAACTTAGAACGGAGCGTGGCGGTGTCCCGCTGGTGCCACTTCGCCACCTCCCGCGATGACTAGCATACACTACACACACTGAACCAAGGACCTTAGCAGCTGAAAGCGCTGACGAATCGTACCAAGGAGGCCCGTCCGATCCACGAGACGCGGCGGAAGCGCGCGCCCACGCGCCGGCACAGGAAGCGCTGCTCCGCCGCGAGCGCGCGCCGCACGACCGGGCTCCGGAGCGGCGCGGCCAGCAGCTGCAGCGGCAGCGGCGGCGGCGGCCACGCCCACGCCCACGCAGCGCTCGCCGCCCGGGGCGACGCCGGCCGCGCCCGCGCCCCCGACTCCTGCAGGTCCTCCAGCGACACTGAAACGCAGGCCAGCCCCTGCCTGCAATACTACTAGGTACAAAAAACTTCCTGCAGACTAACTTTTTCAAAGAATATCCTAGTATTCTAGAACCTTGGGCACCAGAAGATAGAAAACACATGACTCAGTCGATCTATGACAAATTACAAGATGTATTAGATTCCAAAAAATAAAAGTATTCTACTAGCAGGAAATTTTCATGCAAGATTTGGACAGCATATTCTAAAAGTTGTAGGAAGACCCACCTTAAAGCAAAATGGGAAAATTGAGACATTTTATCAATTAGAATATAACAATAGTAAATTCCTTTTGCAAACAAGACATTCGCAAATACACAGTTTTTGTTGTCAGAGGAAGCCGCTCCACAAGAGATCTTTTCATAACAAATGTAAAATTAGTAAAATTATTTTAAGTCCAAACGTACTGAGGGGGAAGACATTGGATCTTACCATCACCTCGTTAGGAGTACATTAGGTCTCAAATCAAGGTGCTTTAAGGGTGATAAAAATCAATTTCCCCAACATACTGAAAATGTGAAGAAGTTGTTTACCATTGTAGGATTATATCACGAGAAAAAAATTTAAAAAATTGAACGACAAAACAGAGTAATAAGATCCCGAATGAAAAATTCTAAACTTCCAAATAAATTTATAACAAATGGAAAAGCTACGAGAGGTCACGTCGAAAGAATGGAGAACACTCCGAATAACAAAAGGTTTTCTGAAGTATAAACCTGACGTGATAAAGGAATATTGGAAAACCGAAGAGAAGATGGCTGTGCCAAATTGAACTAAACGGAAGTTCTAATGCTTGATCACGAATATGACGTGAGTGCGCAGTCTCAAAGGATTTGAAATCGGCCGATAATGAAGTTAAACGAGCAATACGATGCCCTTAAAACACTAGTTTTCTTGCTATAGCCCGACAGCTCACATAACACGAGTATAACGCACTAAGCAAGTGCGCGAACTCTCCGACTATCAGACCGACAAATCACACGGTCTTCGCTTCGAGATGCCTGTAAGCAGGGGCAGTGGTTGGAATCAGTCTCCCGTCGAAAATGATGAGAAACAAAATACAAAATATACACTTCAATTTGTCATATTTATCATTTGTTATTCAATTATTACATTTATTTTATGTAACTCCAGCTGTTAACTGCAAAAACAGTGCTGCGCTTTGCATTTTTGTATAAACTCATTTAACAATTTTTGCAAATCAATTTTGTCAATCACATCGCTACAAACATGTAAAATTGCAATACTGTTGAACCGATTTTCCATAGTTGATCGCATATACTTTGCGAGTCAACGCAATACCGAGAAACGTTTATTTCTGGAATTTGAGGTTTATGGAATATTTCTCTCACCCCAAATTCCGAGTGGGTATTTTGCCAACTAAGACTTCTTCGTGTGGGTATCACTACCACACACACATTATCCGCCGGGCCTGCGTGTAAAGGTTTCGTGCTTTTTATTATGAATCTAGTTCACGGAATTTTTGAGATCATTTTTTTTAATTTCATGAAAGACAACAGCGAGTTTGTTTTTATTTTTCGAAAATCCGCTACACTTAAAATATTTACATTCTAATTATATTTTTAAAATTAATTATAATATAGTATATATAGAAAAAAATATTGTACCCGTTTATTATAGTTATTGTAGATTATAAAACCGACAAATCTTTACAAGTGTTGAGTTAGGTTTCAGAACAAAAAAATGCCGAAAAACAATTTACGTACGCCCGGTGCAATATTAAAAACAACACAACGTTTCTTTATCGTCGTATTTGAGCGGGTACCTTGGTATTAGTTACAAAATCCGCCCCTCGAGTTTTTTTAAGCAATGTCAACCTCTGGAAAGTCTAATTCAAATCTACATTTCAATGCAGTGCACGGCGTAAATTTCTTGACCTGAAAGCGCACTGAATTCATTTGCCTGAATGGAGAAATCCTGATTTATTATAACGAATTTCTTCATATAAACAGTGACAGACTCAGAATTTTTTTAAAACCTTAAAATATATCATATCCCTTATCTCTAAGATCTACGGAAAGTTAGTGACAATAAGTAAAAAAATATATACATAGATTATGATAAATTGGTCTTTGTCAGGAGTTTCTGGAAAATTTAAATGATTATTCACTTTTTAATATTTGTTCTCCATATCGTCGAATTACTTGCTGTGGTATAAGCAGTAAAGCCGACCCAAAGCATTACTCAAAATAAATATATCAGAATATTGCTCCCTTTTTCCATCTCATGTCTTCGCAACTCAATTTTGCGTTCCTCGCTGTTGTAAGTTCTCCTAGCTCGGGATTTCGAGGCTGCTCCTGTGAAAGACTTGAACCTGATTCAGCTATTTCTTTAGATTGTCTGAGAAAATTGCAAACTGCTCCGTGGTCAATAGCAAATACCTTCTTCTTCGTGCAAATGAAGATTGGCTTGAAACGATGTCATCAATGCTCGCTGCGAGCGTTTGCCTTCCCCTCTTTCTTGCAGCAGGGAGGGGAAAGGAAGGCCATTGAACAAGATGCGAGGGTAATGCGCAACCCTTACCCGAAACGCTCGAGAACTGCACGTTGTATCCATGATCATGACCTCACAAAACGGCAAATATTACACTTGAAAATATGAGCAACCACAAGTGACCACCTCGCTTTCTTGACAATGTTCACTTTAGGTTTTGCAAAAGGCGGAAAAACTTTTCGATAAATAAACTGAACTGTGCTTGCATTTACGCGACGTGTAAATCAGGAACTTATTTTCTTAGTGATAAGTTTTCGACTAAGGCAATCCGCAATTTATTGTGATTGCTAAGAATTCGATGGAACGTAAGATTTATTTTCTTGAACGCGTAGAAACTTCAGAATTTTATTTACTATTTGAATTTTGAAGGGATTTCGCAAGAATTTAATGCATTTGTATACGCGAGAGCTTCACGATAGAAGTTACTCGCGAGTTCAAAATGTATTTTTTGCACTAATTTCTTATAGAGTGAAATTCTTAATTTTTCTTTGCAAACACAACTTCAAAATTTATTTACTTTTAGTTTGAAGCATATATTTAATACTTAAGCTTCCTGAAATAACACCAAAAATAAACAGAATTAAGGATTTATTTGTTTAAAAGTGAAGAAAGTACTCAGTAAATGTAAATTTCAAAGTCACAACCACTTTAAAGCTTCCGATAATTTGTATGAGTTTATACATTTTTATCCGTTTCTGATATTATATCGATAGATTTGGAACGCAGTAAACATAATTTTGTATTACAGCTTTTGGAATATTAAAAAGTTTAATAATTTGTGAGTAATTGGTTACCACTGGAGTAATTCTCCATCAGAAAGTCGTTCAGAGGAATCATTTCCAAGCCCTCGCAGGCGTCGTTCTCCGAGGCAGGTGGACGATTAAGCCAATTCAGCGCCCGGTTAACATGGCCGCTGACAAACTTGCCCACGCGGCTCAACGTAGCGCTCATTTTCGAGACTTTACTCCAAGGTCTTTCCTCTATTCTTGAATGATGTGCCTGGGACAAAGACAATAGACTTAACACCACTATAAGGAAGATTACGCGACGACTATTGCAATTCACAATCGCGCTTGCGCGCTTTTTAAAATAATGGCAAGTACTTTATTAAATATTTTATAAAGAACGTTTTAGATCCAAATAATTACAAAGTACTACTGCAGAAAAGTCAATTGCTTTACTTTTTAAAAACATTCTCTACAAATCTTACAAAACAGGGAGTTTATGTAACTAAATATTAAAATAAGAAAGTTCTATAAATTCTGTAGTTTTAAAAAATGGAATAATACCTAGATTGAAATTTAAGAGCAACACAAATTATCTTTTTCACATTTTCAAAAGTCTTTTACGTTGTATACTTTAAAAAAGTATTATTAAATTATTACTTGTATTCGTTAAAAAAGTGTCACGAGACCTGAAATGATGAGATGTTCGCAAATATTCAACAAAATTAGCGATGTAAAACTTCAAATTTTCATTGCTGTTTCGATAGTAAAATTTTAGAATAACGAGACATTTTTTTAAAGAATTTTCAAATTACAACTGGTTATCACTCAGATAATTATCAATTAACATGTTACTCAACAAAAAAATCACCAGATTCACATGTAAGAAGCAAATTGTGTTCGATTCTACCTGCAGTCTCCTTCGCCCGGCTATCAGCCCTGTACTGGCGAACAATGCGCTCCTAGGGTTCTGTGCACCATTTGGATTACCACAGCGCCTCTGGTGGACACAATACAAATTAATTGCGGGGAAAAGGAAAATCGTTAAAAATATAAATGAACAGACAATGAAATGACAGTCTATTTGGCACTAAAAATGTATTAAAAATAGAATTATCATATTGTGTATTACAAAGCCATCTGAATGTAATTCCTAATTTCCCTTTTGTATGAAACATATTTAATATGAGTAGATGTAAAATTTTGTACTCCGTGACCTTTAGATCTCTTTGACTCACTTGCGAGTTAGTAGCACTAAGTGATGTTGCTCGCACAATTCGAAAACTTCCATTCGAAAAGATTTACTCTTTTGTGATATTCTGAAAGTTACATTTCAAATGAAATAACATGGGACCGAAACATTGAGATTATGAGAAAAAACGTTAGAGTTTTTTTAATAAAAACACAATCATCTAAATATATTAATATTACAGGAAAGGAAACTAAACCATTGAATTCATACAGACGATATGCAGTATTAAAAAATACATTTTCCGTAAAATAATTTAGTTTCAAGAAAATTGCTCATTAATGGAGCTAAACGTTTTTAAAGCTAATGAAACATTCTCAGTATTCTTAATAAAGCGATGAGAGTCCAATGTACCTGAGAAAAATACATTTGTGTTCAAAGCACATTACTGGGTGTGTGTGGATCAGAAAGTCCAATTTTCCTTATATTATTATTATTATTATTATTATTATTAATAATAATAATAATAATATCACATACATTACGACAGAGACTCGGATTTCGAATTCCGCGTAAGCCGTGAACATACCACAATAACACATACTTTCTGCAATTATTTCTTACATTTTCAATTTTCAAAAATATCGAATGTTCCATAAAATTACACCTGAGCCATTATTCAGCGTCCTTTGCTCTACTGACCAATAGATTCAAGACTTCAAATCTCGATGACGGCAGGTTTTTCAACACTAGCTTCATAGCTTGGGCGAATTCACCTACTGTCTGGGGGAAAATTCTAGTGGCCGGCAGCTCTAATAGATAGTTGTCTGTGGTTTCTTCGATCAATACCAGGCGAACGCCGGAGCGGTAACCCAACAAACGGGCCACGGACCGCGCATGGTCTTTCCTTCCCCAACCTTATCCGTCCTTACTTAAACTCACATGCAGTATACTACCAGACTTGTCGGGAGACAAGCTAGGAAATTAGAGCTTGTCCCAGCTGGAGCGGTGCCTCGCGGGGAGATAAGTAGTTGGAGAAAACTGCTCTAGCCGAATCTCACCACCAAGGTCGCCACCAAATCTCACCATCCAGCAGAAGAATGATTCAGAAACTTTCCAAGAAAAACACATGCACTACACGTACGGGAGTAATGATCTTAGCAGTTGACGCTGCAGAAAAATCTTGTTCCTATATGTTACTTCCTATTACTTCCCCAAACACATGTTATATACATCCATGTTTTGTGGATCCTTGATGCTGAAAAATGGATTTACAGAAAAACATATTTTTGTCTGTCTGTGGTGTACGCTGGCGGTTAAACCATTCAGATGATTTTCTCCAAAATTGATATCGATTAAAAGGAATTCGAGGCCCTGATAATTGGAAAAAGATATTTTGATTTTTTAATGTACTTTACATAAAGTCTAAACATTTTCAAAATTTTCGGAAAAATGGAACTAAATTATTAGTTTAATTTTAGAGAGGAACATTACATGACGCCGTTGGGGCATTTTTTTACTTTATCAATTGTACAAACATTTGTTGTACAAACATTGTATTAACAATTGTACAAACATTTTTTAAAAATTTTGTCGGATAGAGTAAAGGACGCGTAAGAGAATGGTGCAGATCTATTTTTTGGTAAAACCCCTGATTTTTCGAAAAATGAAAATCTGGAAATTTTTTTCGGCGCCTTCCTACCACTAAAATTTTGAAGAGACTATTTCGTAATGAAATTTGTTCTTTAAAGACGAAGTTTGAAATAAGATTACATACAATTAAACAATTAGTACTTTTTGCATAATTTCGTGTGAAATGTAGGCATTTTTTTAAACTTTTAAAACATTTTTCCCCTCAAGAAAAGCACCATTTTTGTTTAAATTAAGTTTTGACCAATAATAGCGTTTAGAATGCTTAAGAGAATGGGACATGACTGATTTTCGTTGAAATCCCGGAATTTTCGAAAATTGCACAACTTCACATTTCTTCGGCGTCTTCCTTCAACTTCAACCAAAAATATTTATTTTTTTTTAACGAAATGTGTTCATCAAAAATATATCTTCAAATAAAGTTATGTTCAAACTTTGACGAGTATTTTTGCGTAATTTTGATTGTATCATAAGCAAATTTTAAAATTTTAATCAATTTTTTTCAGAAACGGCTCCAAATTTTTCTTTAAATGTTTTTCACGCGTATAGAAAGAACTGTAAAGTAGGTGATACTGCTTGTCCTAAAAATTGGCGCACTCTATTTTTGAAAACTGAAAAAGAATGTAGTTTCTCGCATTTCATTTGAGGCGGTGACACTTTGATCTGTGATTAACTGGAAGATCAATTTCAGGCGCATAAGTTATATTTATGTAAAAAAGAAAATGATGAATAACTTATCATAACAATCTTAAACTCTTTATAATCTTCTTCAAGTTAGGTATTATATTGAATATTTATTTGATATTATCACGCGGCATTGTTCCCATACAACGCAGAGATGGATATTTAAAAGGTTTATTGCTGAACGGTGACATAATGGGAGAGGAAAGATAAGGCTGGGCTTCATTGTGATATTGATACGTCGGTGTACAGGAATACTTTGCCATCGTTGCTTCTGATATCTTCAAGAAACTTTTAGGTTGATAGATAATTTCCCTAAGTCCCAAAAATAGTGTAATCAACTCTAGAAGAATGTGCGCCCGCTTGGTGGACCAGCGGCTGAGGAATTATAATGGTAATTCGTGATGTGGTTGTAAAATAAACGTGTCCCCCGCGAGCTCCCGGTTCAAAGCAGAGCACCGCCATAGTGAGCTGCTTGTGGTTACACCGCTGCTTTGTAGAATACGTAAACAATGCTGTTTTAAAGCTTAGGATGAAAATAAAGCTGTATAAAAATGGAACCTTACCGTAGAATTATACAACTCTTGTTGGAACTGTGCTTTTCCGCTGTTTATTTTTGGTATATGAATGAGTTCACCAATTCATTTAATTACTATAGTTATTTTTAAAGGATAAAATATTAATATAACTTAGTCTTCTTCAAAATCAGAAATTATTCCAGAACCAGACGTAGCATAAAATTTGTAAAAACATACAACGGATTCGAGAATTGTGATCTATTTTCGAACGTGTTTAAATTGCTCAAGAATACAAATGTAAAAACAAATTTTAAAGTATATAAGTAAACTAACAAACGGCCCACGAAGCGCATGATCTTTCCTTCCTCTTCCTTGTCGCCTATTACTTACACACTCATTAACTTGCCCTACACTACCAGACATCCGGGACACCGGTCGGGAGTTTAGTTTGTCTCGACTGGGGCGGTGCCCCGCTGGTGGGAGATACCTGGTTAAGAAAACCCCGCTAGGACGACAGGTCGGCGCCGGATCTCTCCATTCAGCGGGAGAAGACCCCTGCAACCTCCCGAGAAAAACAGCACAGCACTTACGGGACTAATGAGCTTAGTAGTTGACGGGTGCAGAATGTCTAACAATCAATCAATTTATCCCAGGGTGACGCAGCCCCGGTTGGAGAACTGTAAAATGCCCGAAGGATGGCTCTAAAAATCTGTGAAACACTTGAAGGACCTTGACCCCTATTTGGGTTTTCAAGGGCGCTGCCCTCTGTCGAACAAGGCTCTGGAAACGAGCCACCTGACGCCCGTTCGCTTGTCCAGAGACACTCGTACGCAGCGCCATCGATCACCGTCCAGAGAGACTAAACACTGGGAACGAGATGCAGCCGAAGATAACAGCGGGCGTTGACAGAGTGCCTCTGCCACGTGGCCCTTCGACACAAGCGGTGCCGCTGCATTCCGCTTGTCTCTGATGCGTGTTTCCAGCAAACCCAATATTTACTGCAATATCCGCATTGTCGCCTGAAGAACAAAGTGCAGTTAAAATTTGAATTGAAGTCAGGCCTCCAGCAAAAGCATTCCAGTATAACCAAACCCAAACTTCAGCCAAACCACACTCCTTCGATATCTTAGGCTTCCGCGGATACTCATGCGAATGCTCTCGGCTTTTGGCTGGTCGGAGGTTTATCAAAGGCTGTGATGCCGTCGTTGGACCCTTGGGTTAAGGTCCTCTTCACTAGTCATTCCAGCCATGAAGAAGACCATGTGTTGACTATTTGACCATATGTCCAAAATCGGCATTTATGCATGATAGTAACAGACTTATTTCCACTTGGTATGTGCAGTGTTTGAATCAACCTAAACGTAAAAACGGTAGAAAAACCATCTTCTCCCCACTCTGGAAATAATAAGACCCAAAGCAGTAGACTCGATACAAAACTTGTACTCTGCAATACGTTACGAATGAGCCTTAAACGCCTCTTATCCTGAGCTGGAGAACCGAGGTGTGGCGTCCGAAGCGGCGATATTTAACAAGCAAATATTCCCATACGGTTCATTATATTAGCAAACGTATCTCAGGATTTCTTGACGCCATCGTTGATGAAACGCGGGTGCAGAGGGCGAGCGGGCGAGCGGGAGGGAAGGAGGCTGCAATCGCTAACCTAGATCAGGAGGGCGAAGAGGCGTCGGCGCCCCGCAGCCTCTCCTGCGCACGCGCCACCGCCCGAAATAACGCCCTGCCCGCCCACGCCTCGACGCTCGCTCGCCTCCCCAACCACTCGCCCTCCTTATGGCCCGCCCTCTCGCCGTCTTTCTCGCTCGCCCTCTAGTCCGTCCTCTCGGCCGCCTTCTCACCCGCCCGCCCACTCGCCTGGCCTCTCGCCCGCCTTCTCGTCCGCTCTCTCGCTCGCCCTCTTGCCCGCCCTGTCGCCGGTGGGCGTGAGAGGGCGCTGCTACGCTT